GAGGAGGCAGCCGAGGCCCACCTGCTGCTGTGCAGACCCAGCTCTGCCAAGAGATGTACATGAAGATGATGCCCTCAGAAGGCAAAACAGAAGCAACATCAAAACTCCCTTCTCACAATCAGCCGGTCTGCAGCGGTAGCCAGGACACACGTCAGACTTCTCTTCCTCCAGGTCTCCCTCCTGAACATGCTGGATGCCAGCCAGACCTTCCCTAGCCTGAGATGGGTGCATGCTCTGCCATCTGAGGTCCAGGACAGAGGGCATATATTCTAAACGCATTTTTTGAGGGCCCACTATCTGCTAAGCAAGTGCTGTTCTGTAGGGGTTATACAAACATTCAAAGGAAACCAAGACGTCTGCCCTCATGGGGCTTGCATTCCAGCAAGGCTGGAAAACATAAGTAAGCAATACACACAATAAAGGAGTGAACGACACAATAATATGTAGAAGGCAATAAATGCATGCAGTGGAAAAACTGTCTAGTAGGGTAAGAGGGAGCAGGATTGCCGGGGAGTGCAGGTCTCAGGACTAAAGGTAGATAGCACTGTGGGGATTGGGGACACACGGACAAATTTGAATAAGGGACAGGCTCAGCCATATGAATGCCGGGAAAGCGTATTTTTGGCAGAGGGAACAGACAGCACAAAGGCTCTAAGAGAGAATATGGCGGGGTCAGAGTGTGCAAGGGCAAGTAGGAGAGGTCAGAGTAGGGTCCAGACCCCATAGAGCCCTTTGAATCCATCATGCCTTTGGTGTTTGCTTGCAGTGAGCTGAAGAGCTACTGGAGAGTTTTGAGCAGTGATGAGATGTACATTCTAAAAGGATCATCCAGGCCAGGCACAGTGGTTCACATCTGTAATCCCAGCACTTTGGGAAACTGAGGTGGGAGGATCACTTGAGGTCAGGAGTTCGAGAACAGCCTGGCCAACATGATGAAACCCTGTCACTACTAAAATTACAAAAAGTTAGCTGGGTATGGTGGCAGGTGCCTGTAGTCTCAGCTACTTGGGAGGCTGAGGCACGAGAATCATTTAAATCTGGGAGGCGGAGGTTGCAATGAGCCGAGATCATGCCACCCACTACACTCCAGCCTGGGTGACAGAGTGAGACACTGTCTCAAAACAAACAAATATAAATAAATAAATAAATAAATAAATAAATAAATAAAAGGATAATCTAGCTGTTTTGTTGAAGAGGTTGAGGGATGAAGGGAGAAGCAGAAGGCCTCAGACGGGTGGCTGCAATAACTTGGATGACAGCGGCTGAGGCCGGTTAGTGTGGAGGGGGTGAGGAGTGGACAGGTTTTGGTTGTTCCTCAAATTTGCTGATGGATGTGGTGTGGGGTCAAGAGAACCAAGAGTCAAGAATGCCTCCAGGGCCTTTGGGCTGAGAAACATGAAAAGGCGAATTGCAGTTTCCAGCAATGGCAAAGCTAAGGGTGCAGCCTGTTTCGGGGGAGAATCAGCAGTTTGAGGTGGGCATTTGGGCTGAACATGTTCAACAGACAACAGGCGTGGATGTCAAGTGGGTGGCTGGGTACAAAGTGAGAGCCTGTGCCCCCTCTTTGCTGACACTCAGGCATTCACTAAGGCAATACCAAAGTCCTCTGGCAGGTGGTGGGAGGAAGGGGAGCCCAAAGCTGAGGCCGGGGTGTCTGAAGGGAGGTGGCTGTTGCCTTTAAGAAGGCTGGGGAATCAGAAAACTGGAGAAAAACAGATGGTGCCACCAGCGTGAATCAGGACTGCTGTCCAGTTCCCAGGCTCAGATGCCCTGTCAGGTGTTCTGAGCCCCAGTTAATCGAGAATGCCCGAGACAAGTCTTCCTCTGGGCACTCTATGATGTGCAAAATCAGGAAAGTGCTATCTAGAACATGCCACAGAGATCTTGCTGTCCTGAGAGCCAAACAGCTTCCAAAACCCTATGCTAGAGGCATCCTTAGCCCTAGTCCACAGAGGGACCTGTGCAATGCCACTGAGTCAGTACCAAGTGCTGGGAGCAAAGCCTGGTCTCTGGTGGAGCCCAGGCCCTCCTCATGACTGAGGTCCTCTTAGAGCAGGCACCTGACTCCTAGCCTGGGCTGTGGAACTCAGTCACTTCACAGTGGAAAACGTGGCGCTAGACTCGCCTCTGCCTCCCCAGTATCAGTATCAGTGAACGTCTTTAACAGGAGCTTCTTTAAGATCAGTACTGACCTCAAGGTTGCCACAAGGAGGTGAAGAGCTAATGAAATTCTGCACATAAAGTTCTTGGCCCAGTCCCTGGCACAGAGAAAACATTCCCTATATAACAGCTGGCTGGGGGGCAGGAAAAGATGCAGTAACTTCTTTTACTTACTAAGCCTTTTTTTTCTTAAGTTGTAAAAATGAATGTGTTTACAGAAATAAAGGAGAACAGTCCACCCACTCTGGTTGACTGACTTATACATTCAAATTGCACAGAGATTTATTTCTTCTGTTGGATTATTCCCTCAGGATAAATTCCCTACAGTAGAATTACTAGGCCAAGAGGTCAGAACCTTTTCCTGGATCTTAATCAGGGTTGTCATATTGCTTCCCAGAAAAAGATTCTCTCCCAGTTTACCTTTTACTCTATACTTGGGATAAAATTCATATTTTTTTCTTACTGTCAATTTTACTTTTTTCTTTGCTAATTCAGTAGGTGAACCGTGATTTTTATTATTTTCTTTTTGAGACGGAGTCTCACTCCATCACCCAAGCTGGAGTGCAGTGGTGCAATCTCAGCTCACTGCAACCTCTGCCTCAGGGGTTCAAGCGATTCTCATGCTGAGCTCGGCCTCCTAAATAGTTGGAATTAAAGGCATGCACCACCATGCTCAGCTAATTTTTGTTATTTATTTATTTATTTTCAGTAGAGACAGGATTTTGTCATGTTGGCCAGGCTGGTCTTGAACTCCTGACCTCAAGTGATCTGCCTGCCTCAGCCTCACAAAGTGCTGGGATTACAGGTGTGAGCTACCGCACCTGGCCCGTGTGCACCATAATTAATTTACTTCCTTTAAAAACCAAGTAGGAATACTTTTGTAAATGCTTTTTCTTTTTACTGTTTACTTTTTAAAATTTGCTTAAGTGTAAACTGCCTATTCATAGCCTTTGCCTATTTATCATTGACTCTTTAATCAACAAATATTAACTGATGATCTACATTGTGAAAGGTGCCCATGAACATCTGTTTTTAATGAATTTTGAAATGACCATGCAGTGAACTTCTTTGTTATAACATTTGGTTCACATTTTTACCTAGTCTAATGGTCTACTTAATATTTATTATTCTACATTAAGTTTTAAAAACTCATACAATCAGATTTATGTCACGTTTTTCCTATGTGTTCTTCTTCCTATTAGAGGATTCACGCTTACAAACTTATCACCCCAGATCTAATCAATATTTAATTCTATTTAATATTCAATTCTATGGTTTTACTTTGAAAGTTTGAAGTCTTTAATCCAATATCTCTTAATTAAAGACTACTGTACCAAAACTATGTATGTCGAATGCAATATTCAAAAAAACAAACTAAAACCAAAACAAGATGTTCAAATAAGTATGGGACAGCTGACTTTCACAAAGTTGATTAAATTTTTCTATGAATATGCCTCAGAGACTTAACATGCTAATGAATCTTGTGAGTCTCCAGGGCTGGGAAGGACAGGCAAGATCAGCATAAAATATTCTTCACGTGTCGTGACTATGGACGCCTTTATTAGTGTAACACCTTTTGGGGTGTCACGCTTTGACAATAAAGTGAGGATTTTTGTCTGCTTTATTCCCTGCTGTATACCTAGTCCATAGTAGATGCTCAGGATATACCACATAGTTGAATAAACAAATGAGCACATGCACAGTTAAATACAATAGATCTCATCTAGTACAGCAATAATGAGCCACATTTCTAAGGTGCAGGGAGGTGTGGGGACTTTGCGTGGTTCTCTCCTGTATCTAGGGCTTGGAATGAGGCCTAGAACAAACATTTGCTGAGTAAATGAATGCATAAAGGAATGAGTCACTTGCACAGCCCAGCACCTGACATATAGTACCTAACATCCCTCCTTGAATGGAAGTGAAAATATGTCCCCTGGGTAAGAATACAGGACCCTTGGTCATGACCTAAGGCAGCTCTGAAGGTAGATCCAGGCATCAGAGACCAGAACCTCAGGAACACCTATTTGGAGGTGCCAAGGACCTCATGAAGTTCACAGGTGACTTTTCATACCAGTGTCAGAGGCCCAGCTACACCCAGCCAGGCAATGGCAGGCATCCCACCTTGGGGAGGCTGAGGACCAGATGAATTTGGCACTGCTCAGGCTAGCCGAGTGAGTCTCCAAATCTTTCCCTTGAACACAGCCTGGAGTTGCCCGGGACCTGCCATGGATGCTGTACTTAGGGTGGCGCTAGGGCAGGGCCTCACACCGTAAACACTGAATGCCCTGAGCCTTTGGGGACAGGAGAGGTCTCTGAGGAATAAAGGACAGGCTGATGCAAACACTGCCAAGTTCACTGCCATCCTGAGACTGATGCCCAGTCCTTCCTCCTTACCTTCCACTCTCCACTCAGCTGTGGACCACTGTGAAATGTTCAAGACCAACATTTGCTATATGGGAGCCTAAATTAGTGTAAGATTCACAGAGAAGGCTCTCCTGTAGAGCCACGCTTGGATGTGTGGGGGAATTGGGTGCAGGTAGCTGTCAATACAGTCTGTTTCTAATCGCCAAGGGGACACTGATCCTCACCCACTATGCCCAGCACCTAGAACAGCAAAGTACAATGAGTGTTCAAGAAAGAGACCCCAAAGCCTGGCCCAGGAGCGTCGGTGACAGTTTCCAAATATTACCCCTGGGTAATATTTCCTTTCAGAGTGCTCAGCGCAGCCCCAGAGTCCCGTGTCACCACAAGTGCAAGTCCCGCCAGCAGTTACGGGAAAATGGACCCAATCCCTGTGTGGAGGTTTTAGAAGCTTCCATGGCAAAGAAGAGAGGAAACAATGAGCTTTATAAAGAACAATATTTATTTCCATTTACAGCATCAAATACCATAAATAAAGCTAAACATTGTTTTGCTGTGTGCAAAATACAGGATTCCGTGTGGCACTGTAAATGATTACCAAAGGTCACAGACATGCGTAGTGATGAGGTGGGGAGGCTAGCTAAAGAGGAGGCTGAGGGGGAGGAGGGCACTCTTTGGTTGACATTCTATAAAGGGAGGGAGACTCTGTAAGAGAAGATAAGACAAGAGCAACAACTTCGTACTGGCCAAGATCTGCACAAACACAGCGAGCATGCAGCATGCAGGGCTGGGCAGGCTGGCCCAGGGGTCAGGGCGGTCTGGGTTGCGTGCAGGACAGACGCCCACCACAGCCTGAGACTGAGGAGTTGCCTAGGACAGCTCCACTGTGCTTGGTGTGTTGTTTCTCATTGAGAGCACGTTAGTGACTATCCTGCTGCCGCAGGTACAAGAGTCAGCAGGAATGTGTGCTTTAAGCAGAGTCACAGGGGTCTGGGGCAGAAGTGGGTCATTTCTCAAAGATATCCCTGCTTGGGATGAAGATGGCTCTAATTGAAGCTCTGGCATCATCTGGGGCTTTATGAGCCAAAGCAGATAAGAAAAGCCACAGCAAAACCCTTGATCTACAGTGCAGGCTGTAACCAAGGCAGGGTTTGCTGGAATATTTGTGATCACATGTTCAACCTACAGAGCATGGGTCAAGCTTGGGATGAGGCCTGGGAATAATTACGTTTTTTAAATCCCTCCAAAGAATCACCTATGGTTCTGATGAATGACATTAACAATCTTAACATTAGAGCCAATTTAAGAAGGGGCTGGTGTGTATGAACTTTTCGAGGCTGCTCAACAAGTGTTCTTTTCAAAGGTGACAGAGCCCCCCTCATGGTACCGTCACGAGATCAGGGTCGACCCTCCCAAGAAAGTAAGGTGGCTTCGCAGGTGCAACTGGAGAAGCATGCACGCAAGTATGCCCGAGGGAGAGAGGAGAGGCGGGACATGCACTTGGGATTGACCAGGCTGCCGGCTCCACGGGAAATAGACACAGACTTGACTCTGAAGCTGAACACCTCCCCCATGCTGTTAACCAACCATGCCACCAAATGAGTCCATCAGTACGCAAGACACAGTTAGCGCAACCGGTACCACTGGCGGGGAGGACGGGGTGCGGAAAGCGGGTTGGGGGTTAGTACCACTCTCTGAAAATTGGCAAGAAAACCAGTCACCTCAGAGCAGAAATGTGTCAGCCAAGAAGTGGGTGTAGCACTGGAAGGCTGAAATGAACTGATGGCCATGGTGTGAGATTGGAAAGAGAAAGACAGAAAAGACATCTTAGTGCGGGGAGAAAAGGAAATGAACATCATGAGAAGGCACTGGCGTCGAAAATAAGGCAATTATTGAAAAAGGGAAACGTCCCTGTTTGCTTAGGAGAGATGGACCTTTCTGGTTGTGACCAGCTACTGACTTATAAGAGTGGACGCACACAGTTTGCGACTTGTCCCCAATATCCTCTCTGCTCCCTTTTTACTCTAGCATCTCCTACTCATTCTTAAATATGTTGTGGAGGCCTAGAGGCACTCACCCTCTGGGGTCCATCCCTGTGTGTTGGTGCTGCCCAGCAGAAAGGTTCCAGGTCTCAGAACATATCAACATCTCAAACTCCTGACAGGCACACCCTGTCTCACCACAGTAATTCGAACCAGTCTCCTTATGGCTGAACATGACAGTCTTAGAGATTCTGACTCTGGCTTCATGGAGCACTCCACAAAGCATCTCAGCCTACCCTGAGCTGAAGATAATCACAATAACATGGCTGTTCACATCATGACCTCGAGAATTTACTTTCTATAATCAAACAAAAGGAATCAAGGACTCCTCCCACCATGTTGAACGTTAAAATCCCAGCAAAAATTGGAGAAAACACAATGCAAGTCATGGGACTGAGAACAGTGCCACCAAGGACAGAGGTGGCAGCTCCCACAGAGCTGGCCATGGCCATGACTCTGTTCTTCCCGAGGATTTCAGGGAAGTATTTGCAGAAATGCACTTCCTTCTTTCTTTCCATCCCATATAAACTTATCATCTCAAAGCTCTCAAGAGCTCTGGCTCCTCACCCACACCCAGGCACCCCTCTTAGTTAATCCAGAAGCATCTCTAGTGATAACTGCATAGAGCTATCTTGGGTCCAGCAACTCCAGATACACTGAGCACTGCAGACAGCCTTTCTCCGGCAGCCTCTTGACTGTTCAGCCAGACCCTGCAGCCGTGTATGTCTAGGCAGCGTGGAGTAGGGAGAGCTGAGGACTCTTCCAGACACCCAGAGTGAGGAATGTAGGTGGGCCTACATGTTCATTTTTACCCTTACTAAGGCATGTTTCCTTTGGATCAGTTCATAAACAGCTTCCACTCCCAGCCCTCCCTGTCAGTCAAGATACAGTAGAGCTTCCCCTGGAGGTCAGACCCATTCCTTTGCCAGGGCAGTGTTAAAATGGTTTCTGTTTTGACCACATATGCATGGCTGTGGAGCAGCGAAGCAGTCAGGATGTCCACGGGCAATGCTCACTGGGCAGGCCACGCTTCCCAGCAACAACCTGATGTGCTAACAAACCCCTCAGTCTCTAAGGACACCACAAGAGCGGGCAGAGTCTTCCACTCCACTAGGCCTGACCCATATGGACCCTGCATGCCCTTGGCTCAGCTTGCAGCCTGGCTGGAGGATCTGATGGGAGCCGCAGGGGCTAAAATGACATCAGCTGAAAGCGCTCATCTTCAGCACCGCATCAGCTCCGTGGTCAAACACCAGTGGGCTTGCACTGCAGTGCCCATTAGTGGGAAGGGAAAATATATGTTTGTAAAATCTGTTGAAACCCTTGGTTCTTTGTCATTTGGCTGTGATTTGATATGGGGTGGAGAAGCCTTTAAGCTACTATTTAACATCAAAACAAGGGAGCAAAACAGTCCTCCCTGCAGGGGGACAGATAACAGCCAACCACACACTACTCTGTGCTTTTGTAGGTTGAATTCTATTCTGCCCTTTACTCTCTTCTTCTAAAATAGTTATGCTTTCATGTTATAGAAAGTATCCTGCTGCTGACAAGTGGCATCTGGGCACCTAAGTCAAAAGGCACTGGTCAGGAGGTGGCACACTCACTTTCATGTATGTAAAATCCCAAATCATTCACTCAGCAGGCAGTGGCTCTGACAACTCACTGCAATGTTGAAGGGGTTTATAAAGCTGGTTGCAAACCTCAAACCCCCATATTTAGAAAAACTGACACTCATATAAAAAATGCTTTCTCTAGGCTTATTAAAAAATTGAAATGTAAACCCAGAAATATGGCTCACTTTGGTGTATACATATAAAAGTACAAAGCTATAGAAAAGATCCTTCATATCGCCCCTGGCCCTAGCATCATGAGTAGATGTTCACCCTGATAAGGCCAGGCGGAGGTGGCCCACGTGAAACTCTTTGGCTTTGAGCTAACTGCTTAGAGAATGCTAGGCTTCCCGGCCAGAGCCTGAGCAAACTGCCAACGCACTGCCATCTGAACCCTGGAAATGTGAAGGCACTTTGGGGCAGCCAGGTGTGTCAGCGGAGCTTGACTGGGAAGCACCTGAGCACCCAGTTGCGGATGCTCTCAAGGGAGCCCTCAGATTCCCTGTACATGGCTGCCAGGACCTCAGAGAACGCCCAGAGGAGCGGCAGCCCCAGGCTGAGGAGCTCGTACATGTAGCAGTAGTTGTAAGCATTGTCCCTGACATGGAGGCCAATGGCTCGCAGGAGTCCCTGCATCCAGTTACGCAGGTCCCTCGGCAGCCTGAGGGGCCAGCCCAGCGCCTTCCTAAAGAAGGAGGTGGAGATACCTGGGGGGCTGCCTTCCGGGGTGCCAATGGCGGCCACGGCGCAAGAACTTTCGGTGGGAGTGTCTCGCCGAGGGGCTTCCTGCTCTTGCCATGTCGCCTCCTCCTGAGAAAGAGATCGAAATGAGGGCAAGTCCACAAGTCTTCCAGAGGACTGCTTCAGCAAAGCACACAGAGAGCCAAGACAAACCGAACTCGACAGACCCTGCAGCCAGCCCCACAATCATCTCAGCTCCCCACTCATGCTGAAGCTGGTGCTGAACATGGGCACACCTTTTCCAGGGGCCAACTGGCCACAGGGGTCATGAGCCTTCAAAAATATGCATGCCTCTGATCAGCAATCTCACTCCTAAGGATACACATCAAGTAAATAATTTAAAACATGGATAACGATATGCATACCGAGATGTGCACTGTAAAAACAGTTATAAGATAAAAAATTCAAATGGTGTGAAGATCCAGTAATACAGAGTAGTGAAGTAAATTATTGACCATTTATAGATGAGAATCTTCTGAAGGTATTACAAATTATGCTCCAAGAGAAATTTTTTTTTTTTTTTTTTTTTTTTTTTTTTTGAGTCTTGCTCTGTTGTCCAGGGCTGGAGTGCAATGGCGCAATCTTGGCTCATTGCCACCTCCACCTCCTGAGTTCAAGTGATTCTCCTGTCTCAGCCTCCCAAGAAGCTGGGATTACAGGCACGTGCCACCACGCCCAGCTAATTTTTGTATTTTTAGTAGAGATGAGTTTTCACCATGTGGTCAGGCTGGTCTCAAACTCCTGACTTCATGATCTACCCACTCAGCCTCCCAAAGTGCTGGGATTACAGGTGTGAGCCACCGTACCCAGCCCTCCAACAGAATTTTTAATGTCATGGGAAACTATTCTTGATGTAGAGTTAGTGTAGAAAAGGAAGGATATAAAACTGTAGGCATAGGATTCCACTTGTCTTAAAATATATTCACATAGAAAAGAGCCTGGAAAGGAATGTTACAAAATGTGAACTGTGGCTTTCTCAGTATAGAGTGGTCACAGGTGATTTCTCTTTGCTTCTTTATAGTCTTTCATTCCCATTTTTTACATTGAACCTATATATTTGGGTAATTAGAAAAACGTTTTAAGTTATGAGTTGTTGCTAGTGGTAGATAATTAATCAAGCCAGAGAGAAGATATTTGCTAAGAGATCCCAGAAGAGATGCCTCCATAAACCATCTATAAAAGCAGTGGGTTGGTCACTTTTTTAACTTCAGGAGCCTGGGAGAGGAGTTAGAAACTGTAGAAGGGTCGGTCCCACACCAGGCATTCTTACAAAGAGCACCTTGTGGCCAGGTGGGCTCCAGGTATAGAGGACCACGTGGCTTTTGTGTGGCTGAGCATATCACCCCATCCCTACCACGTGGGCAAGCTCTTCCAGGATTCTTATGAGACGCCAGCATGGCTACTCCCCTGGGAGCTCACCTGGAATGGGACACGCCCCAGAGGCTGTGGAACAGACTGAAGCAAAAGAACCCTCCACACCAGGAAGCAGAGGTTTTCTTCTTCATCTGTGAGTCATCGCAATCCCTCCAGGGCCAGAAAAGCTGGCCTTATTTTGAGGATCCCTGGAAACCCTTCTCTTATTAAGGGGCCTTCCCCGTTTCACCAGCACGTGTGAGACAAACATACCTCTCTTTGTTGCTTCAGCTCTGCCCGTCTCTTCCGTTGTTTGCTATTGGCTTTACAGTGAATGAAGTGAGGCTTGCAGTAAAATTTTCCTGTAAAAAGAGGCACACACATACAGAAAGATTTTTCTCCTGTGAACTAGAGCCACCGTTGACAAAAGCCAAGTGCCTGCCACTGTTCAAGTCAGAAAATAGCAACGACGGAAACAGTCCAGGGTGGCTCAAACTTCCGTCACCTTCCTTAAACAAGTGGCACTGGGATGAGGTAGCAGGGCGCTTTGCTGCCTCAGAGACAAGCTCCAGCAATGGGGGGCTCCCAGGCATGTATCTAAGGTCTTCAAAGCATGCAGAACTTCTAGATGCTGGACACATGCTGGCTCCCGTAGGGCAGCATGCCCACACCTGGACAGGGCATGGGAGCTCTGAGCCCCTTCTCCCTTACCAAACCTCATGCCTCTCTTCCATCTGGCTGTTCCTCTGCATGCTTTCTGATAAATAGGACAACATTAAAAAAATCCCCAAATCAAGCTGAGGCCAAATTTCTTCAAAAGACCCACTGCCAGGCAGCAAAATGGACAGCATCGAGTATGAACACCCTCAATCGTTCTTTGTGGAATCCCTGGCAGGTGGGAAAGGCTGAGAGCAAATGGCAGCAGTGATGGGGAGGAAAAGACCCAGACAGGGCACACTCTGGGAAACTGGCCATTGCCCAGCACCGCGTACGCCTGCCAGAAAAGCCTTCCTTGCTCACTGCTATGCCGGTAACAATAGCAATGGTAAAAATGGTAAGAGTAGGGGACACTTACATAGGAATGACTTTATGTCAGGCACAATGCTACACATGCTTATATAAATTAACTCATTAGTTCTCACAACCACCCTGAGAGCTAAGGACTACCATCAACCTCATTTTACAGATGAGGAATCTGGAGGACCAAGAGTTTAAGTGACAGGCCCAAGGTTCCATGGCTAGGAGGTGGTACAGTCTGGAGTGGAACCCAGGCAGTTTAGTTTGAGGGTGTGTAAATGTGAATGCCATGCTATACTGCCTCTCGCTATAGATGACAGAGCAAATGTCAAGTGCTGAAAATTAGAAAATAATTGTTCATTCCAATGAGCATGATCCCTCCATCAGTGATCTCTGTTAGGGCACTTACCAAAGGGAATGTCATGATGGTTATTTTATAACATATACTATGTGAGTAATAATAACCCTGCGTCATTGAACCTGACTGCATGCCAGGTGTGGTGCTGAGCATGCAACGGAGGGTATCAGGTTTGATTTTCTTGACCACACAGGGACAGCGGAAGGTGGTAAGGCTGCGTAAGAAGAGGTACAGAGAGCCCTGGGCACACAGGAGGTGCCCACTAGGACCTGGTATCCACACCACAGCGCTGGTGCTTCCCCTTCCCCAGGACCACAGGCAGCCCCCCACTTCTAGCAGGAGCTCCTACTCTCCCTGAACAGCCTTCCTGATGACATCATACTTCCTGTTGAGGATGTGCTGGGTGTCCTAGAGCCTCCAGAGGGACAGGAACCCAGGCCAAGGTTACGTCTGAGGCCAAGTCCAGAGCCCAGTGCTGCCCTAGCCCCTGGGGTTACCTTCGTCGCAGTCAAAGGTGTAGGCAGCCAGACGCAAGGTGGTAGCGCAGACACTGCAGCGGAAACACTCCCGGTGGAAGAAGTGGCCCTCGGCGCTCAGCCGCTCCATCACGTACACACGCTTCTTGCAGAAGTAACACATGTCACTGCCTCCCAGGTTCAGGGGAAATGACTTTCGCATCGATTCCTGGGGATGGGGAGAGAAGAGTGGTGTGTTAGAGCTTATCCTGAGCCTTTAAGTGTCAGGTTGAGGCTTTTAGAAATTCCAAACTGAATGCTGGGGACCTCATGGGCTTCTATTCCCTGCTGCCACTGCAGCATAGAGGGAGGGGTGGGAAGATACGCCCCCAACCTAGACCCCAACTCTGCAGGGGCTGCTGTTAACTGTCCTCCCTGGCAGGCTGGAGAGTACAAGATGGGCCGGGAGGGGCTCGCCCCCAGGTTGGCTGCTCTGGTTTGGGGGTGGGAGTGGTGTCTCCGGTCTGACAGAGTGGGCCTCATGCACACACCTGTCCGTCCCATGATGTTCTTTCCAGGATCTGTCCCTGGGATTAAGTGTCACCTGGTTTTGGACAAAGGCCTGCTGATGTTTTAGGTGTCCTGTTCCCCTGCAGTGGCGCAGGTCGGGTACGGAAAGCTGGTGGCATCAAACCTGGTCAGTTATAGTTCTAACTGTGAGTTGGAAGGACATGGGCCAGGGCAGCAGTGTCCCTGGGTGATTCCAGAGCAATGTGCCAAAAGGAAACTGAAAGAATTATCAACGAAAATTCTTGGTGATGGCAGCGAGCAGCTTAGTTTAGAGAAAGCGAGAATTCAAATCAAAGGGATGGTTTTCCCATGACTGTTTTCTCAATCCAATATAAAGAGGCTGTTCAGATTGGACACTCAACACTGAAAGTGAGGGCCATTCAATTAGGCTCACGGCCTCAACTGGGCCTTCCTACTAGGCCGTTCTCCAGAGCCACGGACAGCACGAAGATGCTCTGTTTTCCAAAAGACCACAGGGGACCTGAGTGAGGTCTGTCTTTAAGGAAATGCAGCCTTCCTCTAACTTCTGCCCTGATCCAGCTCATTCTCAGCTCCCAGTGGTCTCAAGAGAAGAGGAGCCTCAAGAGGACCAGGCCATCCGCTCCACATCCCATGTGCCCGCCCTGGGATGCCAGAGCCAGTGTCTGTGGGTGAAGGCTGGGGTTGCATGTCCTTACCAGGTCTGGAGAGGTGGCCTGGGCCTTAGGTCTGTGATCATTCATGTACAGATTGACCAGGACTTCAGCTGCAGCCCCTATTCCGCTGGACACTTTCCCTACTGTCAGCTAACCAAGAGCGGAGGCAGAGGAGACAGAGACAAAGACAGAGGCCAGTTAGCACCAGGAGGAAAACATAGGCCAGATGGATGGGGAGAGGGCTCCTCACCCACATGCAAACAGCACCCTACAACCCCGGAGAAGCAAAACCAGCCAGATGGAGAAAAGAAAAGAAATAAAACCCATGGCCGCAAAAAGACAAGTACTGTAGGATTCCACTTATAGGTGGTGCCCCGAGTAGTCGAAATCCATAGACACAGGCAGTAGAGAAGTAGCTGCTGTTGTTTAATGGCTACAGAGTTTCAGCTTTACAAAACTAAGAGTTGTGGAACAGGAGGATGGTGAGGGTGGCATACGAAGAATGTATTTAATACCACTAAACTGTACCCTTAAAAATGGTTAAGGTGGTACATTTTATGTCACGCGTATTTTAACACAATAAAAAAATTAGGAAAAAAAAAGATTAAAAACCAAAAGTCCTTTCACGTACATACAGTTGTGTACACGAATCCCAGAGAGGGGAAGGGTCTATCTGAGGCCGCTTAGCAAATAAATCCAAGATTCCAGACTGTACTCTGGTTGCCTGCCCCCCAGCCCTGGGGCCTTCACAGCTTCGCTCATCAGGGGCATGGGGTAAACGTGGTGCTCAGACCCAATCATTACCCAAAAGCCCGTAAGTCAGACAAACCAAGCAAAGAGAAGGAAATCAGGAGCCAAGCCCCCTCAGACAGAAAGCTAGACTGCCAGACTGCAGCCGCCCTCCTCCAGAGACCCCTTGTCCCAGGAGGGCCGCAGGCAGCTGCTCAGGGACCAGCAAGGCCAGGGGAAGGGTTCGGGTCCAGCTCCACCACGAGCCAGTGCAGAGACTCGGCATGAAGCACAGAACTTCTGAGCCTAGTTCCTCATTTAGTAAAATGGGGAGAGTTGTGCCTGTCTCCTCCTGAGTCTGTGGGAAGGACTGAGTGAGAGAATGTGTCCTAGAGCCTGGCACTTAGCAGGCTCGGGGCCTAGACTACCTTGAGTGATATTGTGATATTGTCGAAAATACATATTTGGGCTCTGCCCCCTGGTTCCTGAGGCAGAGCTCCTAAGACCTTGGTACCTTCCTGAGTGACAGCAGCCTCTGATACAGAGCTCCTAAATCCCCTGGGATTTCCTGGGTGACAGGAGCATCCTTTGCTGGAACGAGGCAACTCTTGAGCTCCTGGATGGCTTCAGAAGGGGCTGGTTGCTAGAGGAACCAACCCTATGATTAAAGAGTTGGAACTTTCAGTCCCACACACTGGCCTACAAGGGTAGAGGGGCTGAAGGTTGAATTGATCACCAGTGGCCAATGATGTAATCGATCATGCCTTCTTAACGAAGCCTCCATAGAAACCAAAAAGGATAGGGTTTAGAGCTTCTGAAGAGTGGAGGCCCCTGAAGAGCGATGCCCTGAAGAGGGCGTGGAGGCACCCGCTCTTTCCTACATGCCCTGCCCTGTGCCTCTCCTCACCTGGCTGCTCCTCTGTATCCTTGATAAGATCCTGTATAATAAACCAGTAACCACGTTTTCCTCCTCAGGTTCAACTAATTTGCAAAGATGGTTTGCAGAACTAAGGGAAAATCCTTCCATTTATAGATTTTGTTGGTGGAGAGAAACATCCCCACTCCATTTGGTGACCACAAGTGAGTGGTATGAGAGTGGTGAGAAGCAGCTTTGCTTCCTTCCTTATACTTGATTCCTCTCTCTTTTCCCTCCTCTAGATTCAGCCTGCCCTGAAGCTCCCAGGTCCTTCCCGACAGGACCACAGCCCACCCTGGCAGCAAGAGCAGTATGTGGAATGGGCACACGCTGGGCAGGTAGGGCAGGATGTGGACTGCAGCAGGCTCCAGAGCCAGTGCCAGGCAAGGTCAGCTTGGGGATGGGAAGATAGCAGCTCTGCGTGGGCCCTGGTGCATGGCCCAGTGATGGGTTGTGGGTGGTGTCTGTGCTCCTAAGGGTACCTACGAATGCCTGGACCCCCACCAAGGTGTCAAAGAGCTGGGAAATGGGTGGAAGCTGATAGGCCAAAGAGCATGGCACAATTATACATACACCCTTCTGCAAACCCCAGCTTGCCTCCCTTTCACTCCTCACCCCCAGCTCTGGAAGCTCACCCTGGTATGGCTGCAGTCTCTTCTTGGGGGAGGCAAATGTACATAGCTAGATTCTAGAAGCACTGTTCCTGATTCCAAGATCCTAGAGGGAAGGAAGCTCTAGGTCCTCTCCAGCTTCCAAACCCAGCCTCCGGGAGATGTGGCCAGAGACAGCAGCAATGGAGGCTGCAAGGCCCCCGGGCAGGGGTTGATAGCCGTCACCACCACAAACCACAGTAACTTGTGTGTGGATGAAATGATGACCTCCATCAAAACCCAAGACTGCCCTTGGGAGGCTACATCTAAGCTGATCAGAGAAAGCCTCAACTATAAAGCAGGAAATCCAGGGAACTGCAGTGATGGTGGGCTCACCACAGCTCACCTATTCCTGGTGGCAGTGCCCATCCTCAGGGCCTCAGGCTAACTCACTGGATTCCAGCAAAAGCAAGGGCACTACATCGGGCTGAGCAGGGAAAGGAGCACCTGGCAGGCTGGTGCGAATCCCTCACCCCCTTTCTCACTGGGAATCCCAACATTACAGCGACTTTGGAATGATCACTCCAGACCATGTGTGTGGCTTTGGGGCCTGCAGAGGACATGGCTGTAGGCTTGCTGGGGTTGTCTGATCCCTTGAACTTAGATGGGACCTCATCAGAGTTTACCAAGCCTGCCACTTCTTGGGAGCAGCTGTCAGGCCCAGCACCCCCTTCTACCCCTGTCTCTACTCTGGCCCAGCCTGGGAGATATTCAGATTCGCTTCCAAGCACACTCTCTGGCATTTCCAGGAGGCCACAAATGCCAAGAAATTTAGCCCTTGCTTCCAAGAAAGGTTCAGGTGTGTTGGCTCAGAACAATAAGCCATTGTTTGTCTGATGTCCCATCCCCTGCTAGGCCCCCAACTTGGCCCCTCACATAGGGGCTATAGGATACAAAGGATTTCCTGGGCTTATATGGAAATAAAGAGGGGAGGAAAGGCAGCAAGGTCAGTTACACTCTCAGCACTGCCTGCCCAGCCCCTGTGTGGCTGCCTCCACTGGCCCAGTGTGAGAACTGGCTCCACAGTATTCTCCCAGAAAGGCACTACAGTGATGCCAAGATACCCACACACAATTACTGCCTCCCCTGAGTGAGCACAGATTGAGAGTATACTTTCCCGGGCTTTTAATACAAATCCCTAATGAGACCTCATTAACCACTTAGCTAATAAGCGCTTTGTGCACTGAGCTTCTCAGCAACCCTGACTTAGGGAGGCATTACTGAAGCGTGCAGAGGGCGGCGAGGTTGCTGGGAGGTGCTGCCAAAACTGAGCAGCTGCAGAGCTGCTTCACTGTTCTACAGCACAGGGCACGGTCTGGGTCATCTGGGCAGGGGATCCAGGATGAAGACCACACCTGGTCCCACCTTTCATTAGGGCCAAAAGCCTCCTTTCTTCCTATGGCATCCATACATCCATCCTGAGAGGGTGACATTCTTTAAAGAAAAAATAAAGTAAAATGAAAGCACTCTTAAGGAAATTTGCACTGGGTCTCCTACCTGTCCTTCCAAGCCTGATGAATCGCATTCCAGAATCACTAAGAGTTAAACCAGCACTTCTTTGAGAGGTCACAGGGAAATGAGGTGATGGACAACTTGTCTCCAGGGATGAGGCAGGGGCCTTTGAAGCCCACCCCAAAGGCAAACGTGAAGGTGAATGTTGCCCTGGGCATCAAGGGTTATCTTCTATTTCCTGACAGCAGGAAGGCTTTACCGGCTCTCAGAGTGAGGATATAACTAGCTGGCTTCTGCTTGCTCATTGCTCCTCAAATTCTCTGTGGCTAATGACAGGTTTTTTCCTTTTTAAATCTTTAATTCGTTATGACCTGTTACTTCCAGATACAACGAAAATAAACTAGAAATATGATCACACACTTGAATGTGTGGCAATATCAAATGGTTCTACAAGTTTCCAACGTTTACTCTCACTTGCTGTAATCATGGGATTGCAGCCCAGTCCCTGCCCGTGGACCACACTTTGAGTGGCACTGCTCCAGTCAACTGGGAGAATCACCAGGTTCTCAGGATCCTGAGAAATAAATGTTCAACTCATGGAGAAATCCCAGAGAAGTCATCCCGGTGTTGACCTCAGGGTTAGAGGCAGTGGTTCCTACCAAAGAGAAGCATGCATTGATGGCAAGCCACCATGCTCCTGGGGAGGCTGGTCAACAGGGGACCTTACGATTAGGCTGGGAACACTTCATCTAAATGCAAAGTTGGGCAATCTGATGATCTGGTCAGAGATGATCATGTTCCAGCCACTAGTTTTTTAAGAATTAGCAATTTTGAAGTCCCATGGGACTGCTTTTGCAACCTTTTATACATCTCTCAATATTCTTGTAATTTTCAAGAATTTGGGTGTTTTTCATTACTTTTTACCTCCTTCTGAATTCTAATTCTTTTTCAGCAAATTAATTAGAACACTTCAGAAGGGGCATCATCCCATGTTACATGAGGTTAACCTCACATATGTCATTTCCCTTCTATGAGCCTCAGCTTCTTCATCTGTAAAATGGAGAGACCACCACCAATCTTGCAGGGCTGCAGAAAAGATTCCTGACAGAACCTGGGCGGTGCAGGAGGTGCTGGGCAGATAGTGAGTCCAAAGCATAGCCATTTGAGATAAATACTTGAGGGGATGGATACCCCATTCTCTGTGATGTGCTTATTTCACATTACATGCCTGTATCAAAACATCTCATGTACCCCATGCATATATACACCTACTATGTACCCACAAAAATTAAAACAAAACAAAGCACGGCCATTTGTGCAACTTTGCATTTCCATGTTCTGGGACTTCTCTCCCATCTTAAATCACTTTCACTTTCCTCTGCACAAGCATGATGTGGCCCACACAGGATGAGCTTCCCACCTCCCCTCCCCAGAGCCAATCTGGACAGAAACATGGCGACGCAACTGTTGTCACACACGCCCATGCCAGAGGCTGCAGATGATGGCTAGACCTCTACGAAGAGGCATTTCCCAAGTGATCTTGTGACCCCAGCGCAGAATATGATGGTCACCGCCTGGATAGCACAGCGTTCCTCACGCTGCACGGCGCTGGCCCATAGTCCCCTCAGTTTGCGCTCCCTGAGTGACCTGGCTTCTTCACCTCCACATTCCTGACACAAGGCAAATACTGTGAATGCAGGAAGAAGCAGGCTCCAGGCCCTGTTTGTGTGAGAACAATGGAAATGTCCCTCCCTGAGCCTGGAACTGAGCCAAGATTACCAGGTGTCCTGGCTACAATTCACCGAGTTCAGCCACCTGTGGCCATACAGCCTGCATGAGCATCCAGCAAGCCCACATGGGTAAGAATGTGCAGGGCCTCAGGGCGCAGGGCTCACATGAAGGGGAGCTTCTGACAGGTAGGGCCAGAGAAGGTCTGCTGGGTCCACTTGGGCAAGGACATCCTCACTGAGGAGTCCTTAGATGAGAAAACACCAGAGGATAGTCTGTTGGACCTGATTCCTCAGCCATATGCCCAGAGCTTGGGGTAGGAGGGCAGGTAAAGAACTGAAATCACCGTGTTCAAGGGTGCCTGGAAATTACAAGTTCAGAGCTGAGACAGGCAGGCCTTAGGGGCTGTGAGCTCCCAGTAAGAGCCCATGTCTGCCCAACTTCATCTCCTGGTGCCAGGCACTGAGCTGCTGATCATAAGTGCTTCGCTCACAGAGCCCTGCAGGTGGGTCTAATAATCCCCCTTTGCAGGTGAGGCAGCTGAAGTTCAGAGAGGCTCTAACTCACCTGAGGACGCACTGTTCTCAAATGGCTGGGATGAAAATGGAACCCTGAAGGTGACTTCTTTTCCTTTAGAAAGAGAGGGATCAACATGCATTTCAGGTAAATGAGTTTTCTTTCAGAATTCTCTTCCACTGGGGAAAGAGAAGCTTTATAGGATACTTTAGGCATTTTGCAAATGTTAAGACATTACAGTATTCTAGTCACCTCAGAGTAGCTGCTCTCCTCTCCATTTTATAGATTAAGAAATTAATGTTCAGAGAGGTTCACAAACTTGTCCAAGGCCACACAGTGAGTAATTGGTGCTTTGAACTCAAGTCTGATTCAAACTCATATCCTTCTTCCAGCACTCTGCAAATTAACCGCCCTCTCCCCGCCCCCCAGGCTGGGATGCACACAGGAGATCTCCAGAAGGTTGCCTAGCTCTATTCCCGGGATAGAAGGTAGCCTTGAGACCTGTCCCTGAGATTTATCATCTTACTGGATCAAACAAAGGCAGATTGCCCCAGCGTTTCCCTCTTTCCCTCTAATATGCAAATCTCTAGAGTAAACCCTGCAAATCCAGTTTTAAAACAAACACCTCCAAGGGTAGAGAAAGCTCCTTTTGTAATGCCCAGTGTTCTTCTTACCCTGGAGGACGGAGGGGCAATTCACAGCCCAGTGAAGGGCCCCCCTTGCCCAGCCGTGTAAACGCTCAGTGCCCTCTTGTTCTTGTGAGAGCTCACCAGCATGGCAAACAGCCAGCAGCCAGCAGCCAACAGCCATGCCATGGGCCAGATCTGCAAAGTGGCCTCCCTTCTGGAAGAGTGAAACTAACCAATGGCTGATAGGGAGCTGAGATCACAGAAGAGGGCTGGTTTGACCTGAGTCTGGGCATAGATCCCACAGTCCACAGCCTGGAAAGACAGACTCTGCCAAGGACCTGAGCCTAGCCCTCAAGACTCCCTGTGACCATTCAGGCCAAGAAACTTGCACCACTCTGAATTTTAAAGCAGAATATCAATCTGATAGGGCGGGCAAGAGGAGTCTGAAGGCAGAGCCCTGGCTCCCTGTCTTGGAGTCAGCAACTCAAGTTTGCATTCCTGTGAGTAACAAGTGTTACTTATAATAAGTTTGGCTAAGTCTGTTCCCACGAGGAGATGATTATTCCTGGATCCTCGGAATTGGCATGGAAGACCCTAGGGCAGGAGCAGAGACAAGCTGCCTGCCAGGAAGTTGCCAAGGACTAAGCATCAGTTTCTAAGTGCATTTTTCTTCCTCTGGCTTCCCTGAATGCAGTCGAACTTCGGTCAATTGGGCAACATGAACAGCCCCAAATCTGTTTGGAAGAAGCATTAAGGCCCCAGGCTCTAGGAGAGAAACTCCCTGAGCTGCACCGGGATAAAATAAAATACATCTGTTTATCACAAGTCATCACCTACTTTAAGGAGCAGCCAGTTCTCTCCTCAGAGAAGGCTGTGATTCTGCCAAATCCTGCGTGTGGAAAGCCCAGTGCTGAATCAATGGTGGGGCAGAGTTTGGGGAGGGAGGGAGGGGCGTCAAGGCAAGGAATGATGCTGGTGACATCCTTTCTAAGACTGCTTTAAACTAGCAACTCACCACTCCATCCATAACTGCCTACAACGGAATCACAGTACAACCTGCACAGACCTGTAAGTGTAGGTACTTAGAGAAACTGAGGCACAGAGAGGCTAAGTGACTTGCCCAAGTGTTCATTCTAAGAGCTCCTCCATCATTCCCAGCCATACTGTGAAAGAAACATCAGCCTGTAATTAAGACATTGGAGGCTGTCACAAGAGCCCAATTACATCATCATCTAATGGCCAGCGCTGACTTGGGAGATAGAATTTTTTAAAAGGACAAAAATGGAGCAACTGTTTTACCACAACTGGGGAGAAGCAAGGAACAAAGCTGTAGAGGTGGGGACAGTAGATCTGGGGTTGGCCGACGCAAAGCCCTCCCTGTCCCTGAGTGTGGGGCTTTATGTGGACGCAGCCTCTGGGCTGATCCCTCTGACAAGGCCTCCATGCACACGCAGCAGCCTCTGCAGTACACAGGAGTCTGAACGCTGGGCTCCAATCTCCTCCCCGGGCCTTTGCCCTCTTACCTGTGGCTCTGCTTCTGCTCAGTTCTCACAATCACAGGAAGAGCTCACTGGCCCCCACCCAACCACTCCATTTAACATCGTCACCCTTCCTTCCCCAGCAATCCGGGTCCCCACCACCAGCTCTACGTTTTTCATAGGAAATACTGTCTTGCCCTCTAACACATTATGTGATTTACTGATATATTATGTTGATTGTTGTAGGCTACTAGGGTGTAAGCCTCATTATGCATCGATGTATATCCTGAGAGCCTGAAGTGCCTAACACTGGATTGTCATTCAATAACTATTTGTTGTTTATTGAGGGTGGAGGTTCATGTCTGTACTCTCAGCTACTCAGGGGTGGTGGAGGGCTGAGGTGGGAGGAGCACTTGAGCCCAGAAGTTTAAGGTTGCAGTGAGCTATGATCAGGACACTGCACTTCGGCCTAGGTGACAGAGAGAGGACCTGTCTCAAAAATAAAATTTGTTGAATGAATGAATGAATATTTTCATTAGCTTTCTGAGTGACACTGGTAGAGAAAGCTCCTTTTGTAATCCTCAGTGCTCTTCTGACCCAGGAGGACTGAAGGGTAGCTCCCAGCCCAGTGAAGAGCCTCCACCCCCGCCCGCCCAGCTGTGCAAAAGCTCAGTGCCTTCTTGTTCTTGCAAGAACTTACCAGCATGGCAAATGGCCAGCAGCCACATCACGGGCCAGATCAGCAGTGGCCTCCCTTCTAGAGGAGCAAAATTAACTAACGGCTGAGAGGGAGCTGACTCCTCAGGGGAGGGCTGCCTGAAGAGCCAGAGACAACAGCAGGCAGGGCCTCAGCGGGTGTGATGATGATGTGATGGGGACAGGCTTAGTGGCTGAACAGACCTCTGTCTTACCCAGCAGCTCCACATGTTCCCAGCAGGCTGCTCCCTGCCCTCTCTTAGAGGGAACTCATGCCCAGTGGAAACCAAGTCAGGGAACTTGAGAGGTGTAGGGGCTTTTCTTGCCGTGGTGCTGACCCCAACAGTGACCATGCCAGACTTTCCTGAGGATGGAAGAAAGGCAGGGACAGGAGAAGGCCTTGCCTGCCTCTACCCTGAAGGGTCCAGGCAGCTGAAGGGGGCTGGGCCAGAGAGAAGCAGGGTTTGGGCCTGGCTGACCAACTCTGAGCACAAGCCACTGCCTGGTCTGTGCCCAGGTGCCCTCTCCCCTCCCACCATCCTGCCAAGGGTGCCATGACCTTTTCACATAGTAGGGAGTATACCCCGGGGAAGGCCCCTTTCCCTAGCTTGGCAAAAAGCCTACCTTGCAACCTTGCTGATGGTGATGACAAAAATGCCTGTCTCCACCCATATAGCTCACTGTAACGTGAGCCCAGAACTGCTTTTATTGAGGAGAAAGACAGAGGCCCAGGTAGGTCAGCAGACTTAAGGTCAAACAGCTGACCTTGGCTGACCTGGAACAGTTGTCCGGGTATCTTGATGTGCTGCCCATGGCTATTTTCAGTGGTACTGAAGATCGTGTTTGGGTTTCTCTGTGTTACCTGGTACTGCCCTTTCTGGGGTGCTTCTCATTCACACAGGGGGCCTCAGCTGGGATGGGGCTGGTAAGACTCCTTGCTCCTTTCTTGGGGACTCTACCTACACTGTTCTCCTTACGGAGGTAGAGGCCAACAGGGGTGGGACCCCCCATTACACACCAAGAGGCAGCTTCTAATTTTTCACTAATGTAATAGCACAGAGCTGGGTTGTGCATCAGTCTAACAGCACAGAAGCAGACCAGCACTCCTTCTGGCAGTGGGACATTCAGCATGACTCAGCCTCGGTGGAAGCCAGACATGCTGGCTGTATACAGAGAAGCACCGTTTCGGGGTGGAGTGGGGGAGACTCCAAACCTACCCCATGAGCAACAGCTCATGAGGTAGGCTTCACACTCACTTCCAGCCTCATTCATTCCAGAGGCCAGGATTCCTAGAAGACACCTCTCCCACCCTAGCCTGGTATTATTCTCAGCACAGGAGGTAACAGGACAAGGGAAAAACATGAAGAGCACCTCCAAACCCAATCTTAACCATTGTTTGTGAGTGCATTTCATTAACTGCTTAACCAAAGTTAGCTCCCCACTCTTCTCGTCCTCCATGTCAATCTCTGCATTACTGAGTCGTCCTGCTAGAACGCAGAACAGATCCTGCAGTGGCTTCCTATAATCCAGAGGATAAGACGAAATTCCTTTACACAGAGTGGGCTCACTTCCACTCTCCCTGTCCCCGTAAATACTTTTATCTACAAGTTCAAGTCACACCAGACATTCCATCTTTCCATGCCATGCAAGCCCCGCCTTCCTGCCTTTGCACAGGCTAGCCCCTCTCCAAAACGCCCTTGCCCTAAACTTCTCTCCAGCAAAATCCCCCCACAGAACCTTCAACACTCACTCAGTTCCCATATTACCTTCTGTATTACCTCCCAGTCTTCTCCCCTCTCCATTTCTACAATCTTGACCCTTTATACCTCTTATAGAATTAATTATTAGTATTACATTAAGTTTACCATGTAAAATTGCCATCTTATTAGGACAGAACAAGCAACTATATCCACTATTTTGTATTGTAAAAATGTGCAGCTTCCCATCTCAACCGTAGTAAGGGAACTGCACTGCCCTCTGTTTTCTCAGCATCTGGCACGGAGGGTGGCATATGGTGGGTCCTGATTAATGCTTGCTGAATGAATGAGCCCTGTTTGGCAAGCTTTTGTATGCTGCCTGTTTTGCCATGTTGTGTGCTCTAATGCAAAAGCAAAATCGAATCCAGCACTGTTGTAAAATATCTTACAAATTTGTATTCTAGCCAAGCCAGTCTTGAGATGTCTGTGCAGGTCAAGTGGGGCATGGAAACATCTGGGAACATGCAGGGGGTGAGGAAAGCAAATTGTTCAGAACAGCTACCTTTCTGGCAGGAGAAGTACAGTCAGCAGTTGGAGAAGAAGCAGCTGGATCAGGAGACGGAAGGCGAGAGGGAGGAGACGGAGGATGAGTATGAGACAGGCCTTTAGAGAGTTTATTCTGCACAGAATGGAAGTAGAAGAAACGAGGATTATCCCAGGAGTCACATGGTGATAGACACCTCGATCATGCAGTCCCATGCCTGTGCACGCAACGGGGCAAAGAAAGGAGACCCATGTCTCAGGACAACACAGAAACCCCTGGCTTTGGAGCCAGGCAGGATTATCTGGCTCCTGGTTACACTGCATTCTGCTGCAACTATTCCAGCTCCCTTGTCACACCAAAATAGCTCTCACAGATTCAATCCATTCCTGCCTACATCCGCCTTGGACACCAATGCCAATTACCAAAGCCCTCACCCTAGAGCTTAGTATGAAGTAGCAGCTGCGAGCTTAGGAGAGGAGAGCCCTGGGCTGCTTCAGGGCAGGTGGCCACAGCAGGGGCCTCTGTGGCTGCAGCAGACAACTGTGCTAGCGTCCTACCAACCACGTGGAATCCTAAAAATCAAGTAAGTGTAAAGCATCCTTCCCACGTCAGTGACTCCACCAAGTAGCAGAAGATGCAGGTCTGGAGGAGACGAAGTGAAAACAGTGGAGAGCCAAGTTCTAGGACCAGGCATGCTGCAAGGGAGGGAGGACCTTACACATACACCCACCTGCAGGGTCTCATCATCCACTCTTTCATCTCCTCTCTGGCACACGCTTTTCTTTTCAGCGAATTTCCAAAGAAGTACCTGGATTGAGGAGGCTGTACTTCCTAATTCTAAGGCAAAGCCATTCTTGTTGGCTTGACTTTACCCCACGGGGAAGCAGAGCCCCAGTTACAGCATGCGCTTGGCCTCATCATTCAGTATCTTCCTGATCAGGGCCATAGGGAGATTTCTCTCTCACACCCGAAAACATCACAGGCAACTGGGTAAAGGCACTGTGATTCTGCAACTTATGACTGTTTCCTGTTTGTGGTGACACTGAGGAAACTCAGAGCCTGCGTAGAAAATATCTAGGGCCTACCAGCTTGTGCTTCTGTTTAGAAATGTCTTTCTTGACGTGAGTTTACTTTCCTGCGTTAGTTTTGCCTTATTTTGAATCTGCACATTTGGGTCTTTTTTAGATGCCAGCTTGAATTATTTAGTGGCTTAAAAAATAAATAGCTCCTCATGCTATAAAAGCAGGAGGAAGGAGAAAATTGAGCTCAGAGCCTGATTCAAGGTCACCTGGCTGGATGTCCAACATCTGGGTTCCTGGGGGCTCTGAAAGCCCCATGTTTACCTGCGGGAAATCCCCGTGTCCAAACATGGAGGCAAGGTGGGCCGCCTTCTCCTTAATGTTCTTTGTGTGAAATTCCCTGTTGGCCAAGTTCTGAGCCCTCTTCTGCGGTGAAGGTGAGAAAGGAGAAAGAAAAGAGAGATAGTGACAGAGACTGAGACAGTTGCTTCCAAGAAGTGGGTGAGGGAGGCAGCCGGGGCCTCACCTGCTCACCACACACAGCAGGACGGGAGACAGGGGGTGGGCAGAGGGAGGAGGAACCCACGTGTGCAGGAGGAGGGAGGGGAAGAAAAGAAGTCGCCCAGACACGGACAGAGACAGGGCAAAAAGTGTCTTTCACCTGGAGAATCTTTTCCTCCACTTGCTGCAGCCGCCACAGCACCCCGGGAAGAGCCTGTGCCCTCGGGCGGGTAGGAGGCAGGGTAGCGAAATTTTCTGTCCCCCCCAGCTGTAGGTCAGACTTGGCTCTGGCTCTCCAGGGCCTGCTCAGGCACTCGCTGCCAGCAGACACTTGCTTGAGCTCTCTGAGCACGTGCCCCGTCACAACCACAGAGGGGAACTGGGAAAGAGGGAAAATTAAGCTTCCTTCCCTACTGCAGCCCTTTCATACACCCCCACCACGAGGAATCCCCTGTGAAGACCAGAGACAAAGGGCGCACCAGGTGCAACCCTAAATAGGATTCCAAACTAGCCCCAGGAATTGATTCTCTACCTGCATCAAAATTGCCTGGCATCCTCATTCACAATACATGGTCTGAAGCATCACCCCAGACCCCCTGAATCAAAACCTGTACAATGCTGGTTCTCAATCCTAGCTGCATACTGGCATTATGGGTACTTAAGAAAAAAAGACCCAAGTCTGGGCCCAACCCCCAGAGATTCTGATTGCATTGTTCTGGACTGGGCATGAGTCAATGGCAGTGTTTAAAAAGCTCCCTAGGTGAGGCATGCAGACATAAACTTTCTGCATTGTATCCACACTGACCTTATTCAACCTCTACCACCTGGAAGCAACACACAAATCCTAATGCTAACCAGAAACCTTTGTGGCTTATGGCCAATAGTAGTGATTCTGCTCAAATTCCAAACCCAGGAGCACAACCTGGCATAAGCCATACTCTGTGACTGCCAGCCACCTTCCTGCCCACTATGCAGGTCTACTCTGGTACTGGGAAGGCCTTGCCACATCCCAGACTTACCCCTTCAATGCATCCAGCCAAGTGGCCACCTGGGCCTATTTCAACATCACTTTTTCATTGATTTGAAAATCAGCCTATTTGAATGGTCTGCAGATAATGCTCAGCGTCACGGGGCATCATACAAAATACCCTGCGGTACAGTTTATTTTTCCCTAGCAGCACCACGGAGACCATGGTATTTGGTCAACTGATACTTCTGACTGGCTAAGGGATCCATGAAATGCATTTTGTGATGCTGCATACTTGGTTATTCTTACCTATAAGGGTGGTGACCTCAAGGTGTGTCCAGAGAATCTACAATCGGCCATACCTGGGGTGTGGGAAGAGCCACTGACCCCACCCCTCTGGATGAAAGTCCCCTCTGGCCTTTACCAAAACAGCATCCACTAAAAGGAGCCCTACCTGCCTTTTCAGTGGAGGTGATGGGCTGGGTGTGGCCTCCTCCGGCTTGGGGCAGCAAGAGTGAACAGGAGGGCCAGAGGAAGAGCACGGGACGGGCTTACCTATCCCTGAGACACGGCGTTCCTAGGAGGAGAAAGGCGAGTCCAAAAAAGCAGCCACAGGAGACATGAAGGAAAAGGTGAGTCAGATTGAGAGGCTCAGAGGGAGGAGAGAGAGGAGCAGGGAGATGAAGTTTGCAAGTGCAGAGACAGCACTGGGCTGAGCTCCTGCAAGCCAAGCCCAGCTGGGAAACTTGAGCCCTGGCTCCCTGTCCATGTGAACAGTGAGTCCTGAAGTCCCCTTCTCGTGGACAAAGTGTGAATCCCAGGGTGGCTTTGCTTTTGGCTCAGACACAGGGCCTTAAGCAGGCACTGCCAGAGCCCATGCCAGGGCAGGGTGGCTGGCTCAGGAGTCTGCCTGGAAACGGAAAAGCTTCCTGCCCACTTAAGGACAGGGATGCTCTGGTGCTTTTGATGGAATTGAGCCCTCATCAACACTTAGAACAGGCATCCAGAAAACTTGTGGACAATTACAGGTCTTAAGGAAATGGTCTCCTTATAATAAAATCCCTTCACTTCCTGGAGAAGGTCAGTTCGCCCAGGAGACACACAGTCCAAATCGAGACTAAGGAGACATCTCTGGTTGCCTCTAAAGCTATTAACTAAGAGTCTGTCCTCCCAAAAGGAGCCTCATTCTGTCATTTGACAGGTGTTCACCATAGAAAAACCAACTTCTTTTTCTGAGCTTCTGTAATGTGACAAGAGCATCCTAAAAGAAGTTCAGGGGGGCAAACCAAACCACGAGGCACACACCTCAGAGCCGGAATCAGAAGGAAGCCTGCAGCCTGACACAGCATTCCGCCTCCTTCAGCCTCAGACTAACCCCCGTCAGGCACAACAGCCCGCCAGGCTGCCTCAGTGCAGGGAGAGAGGAGAGTGCCAGGAAACACGTGTGAGGCTGGCCTTCAGTACTGTGAGCTCAGACTCAGTTCCTCTGGTTTGGATGAATCTTCTCAGTGTGGACTTTGTACTTTCCCAGACAGCCGGCCTCTCAAAGCTCCCTCAAACTGTATCATTTCAAAACTGACTACAAACCAAGTCATGGTTGGAAAGCAAAACCAAATTAGGGAACAGATTTCTTTCATGCAGAACAAGCACGAGCAAATTAGGCCCATGGGCCACATCTGGCCTGCTCCTGTTTTTTGTTAATAAAGTTTTATTGGAACACAGACAGGCTCATTTGTTGGGGTATGTCCGCCGCTGCTTTCGTACTACAATGGCAGGGTTGTAACAGAGACAGTATGGCATCCAAAGCACTAAAAAACTGCTATCTGGCCTCTTATAGAAAAGTCTGTTGGCTCCTCATCTAGAAGGAGCTCAGGTCTCCTTGGGACCAGGCCTGGCTGGCATATTTGAAGTCTAGCAGTAGCCAGAACATTCCTGCCGACAAGTCACCAGGAAGTCAGGTCCAGTGAGTATTTGACATGACTCACCTGCTTCATGAGTGAGGGGTTCCGAGTGCTCTCCTCAAACTTGGCCAGCAGCTGATTCGCCATGGACTTGACTTTGTTCTGATTTCCACCTTCTTTACTGCTCCCACACTCTTGATTGGAGCCCAAGCTACGGCTGGAAAAGTTTGAAGGCTGCAAAGGTTGAAACGGGACACTGATGGTTACTGGACATCAGAAAGCAGACTTGGGGACTCAGGACGTGGGACTAGTTTCCTGCAGAAGGGCTCCCTCCATGGTCCTGAGGAAAGGAGGCAGAGTCCCACAGAGGCAACGCTCGCAAGAGGGATATGTCTTTCCAAAGGATGGGCACAGCTAGGCTTGGGAGCCAGACAGCTGGGGTCTGAATCCCGACCTTCATTTCTTAGCCCTGTGACACTGGCAATTTACTTTACTTCTCTGACATTATTTCATGTATAAAATGAGAACAGTAATCTACTTCACATGATTACTGCAAAAACCAAATATAATCATGAAGTGTTGAACAAAGTGGTTTTAAAAAATACATCATCTGGCTGAGAAGAGAAGAGTCGGGGTGGGGGAGCAATGAGGGAGTCAGTAGGGGGTCACTCAGGAAAGGCCTGAGCTCAGGATCTTTCTCCTCTCTCCTCTGTACCCCCAGCTTTAGCCAGCCCTGTTCTATTTTTTGCTATCTTTTTAAAGAAAGCTTTTAATTTAGAAACAGTTTTAGATTTACACAAAAGTTGCAAAGATGGCACAGATTGTCCCTGCACACCCTTCACCCAGCTGCCAGCAGTGTTAAATCTGGAATAATTGCTCCTGTCATCAAAATTGAGAAATTAACACTGGCACAATACTATTAACTAAATTATAGCCTTTATTTGGATTGCATCAGTTTTTCCACTCATATCCTTTCTCTGTCCCAGGATTCAATCCAGGATCCCATGCTGCATTTCATCATCCAGTCTCCTTGGTTTCCTACAAACCGTAACAGCTTTTGTAACAGACTGACACTCTGTGAAGGGTACTGAGCTGCTGTTTGAGCCCCTCAGTCTGGGCTGGTCTGATGTTCTCTCATGATTAGACTTTGGGCAAGGACACTGCCGAGATGAAATGCTCTTCTCATGCCAGCACAGCGGGGCGCATGATATCAACATGACTTATAAGTGGTGATGTAGACCTTGATCAATTGGTTACGCTAGTTTATAAAACAGAGTTCCATGTAAGATTTCTCTAGATCATCTGCTAACAGTAAACAATTGAAGATGACCAGTGTTTACTTAAGAGGCTCTGTTCCCCCTTACTGCAGGATCTCCTCCCACAGACCTTGGAAGTATAAATGGCGCTGCCACAGCAAGTGGGCAGTCGGTTTTCCTAGGGACACCAGGAGCGTCCCTCACAGGAAGAGATATGCTCACGACAACAAAAGATGTGTTCATTTAGAAGAAATTCACGGGAAGAGGAAAGCTGTAGTTAATGTTTTTAAAAAGATCCCTAGGTGTGGCAGCCCCATGGGAAACCTAGTATGTAGAGCCACTCTGAGTGTTTTGGACAAACACACACCAAAGAGGCACACGCTCCTTCAAAATGCAGTGTAACTATGCACAACAGCACAGGCTTGAGTGAGAAGAGGGTGTGTTTACTTGGGCAGTCACTATTTGTTCAACACCAAAGTTAGCCAGGACAGTGGGCCATATAGGCCAGCACTTTCAGACATGAATGGGCCCATGAATCACCTGGAAATCAATCCTCAAAAGCAGATTTGATTTCTGTAGGTCTGGGGTGGGCCCTGAAAACCTGTACGTCTAACAAGTACCCAGCTGCTGCTGCTGCATCTTGGATCACATTTTGAGTAGCAAGAATTTAGAAAGAACACTGTTTTGTTAAAACTGACTTTAAACAAAACAGTTGCCCCAGGAGACTGTCCAGGGCATCTCAGAAAGTGCAGACACAAACCAGATTTCTTCCCACTCCAGCTCCTGTGTTGCCAATAACAGAAACAACACTCACATCCCTTAAACAAGCCATGGGTGAAAGGCAGGAAAATACTTCTGCCTGAGACAAAGTGTACCCAAGGGCAGCTTCTTAGGGACAGGCAGGAGCAAACCCTAGGCCCTGAAGGTGGAGAGCCAACACCCGTAACCTGGGAAATGGAACATGTCTCTAGCCTTGTGCAGCCTCTGCTTCCTCTCTGTGTCTCTGTTTGCTGGCTTCTTGCTTACACCACAGCCAAGAGGTGGGAGGCAACAGTGCTTGAAGGAAGCACCTTCAAGAGCTCTAGGAAAATGTTCAGGCCAGGGTGTTTTGAACTTATTGGGTAGAATGGGTTTCTTCACATTTTAAGATGTGAACTGAACTGGTTTTTCTTCATCAGCACTTCCCTTTGACCATCCTGGATAATGAGTGGAATGGCTGGCTGCTGCTTTCCTCAAGGTGAACCTCACAGCTCTTCTTATTATAATGCTCACTGTTGTGGGATACAGCAAGTCAGACACGAGCAACCATATCATGAAAATATACAGCAATAAAATTCTTCAACCATATGTGATGGAAAAAGTCCCTTCCACCTCAGGAATCAATGTATTATGCAGATCGTCCTGCATGCCTCTCAGTCATTTTGGGGTCAGCCAGCAGGCTAGCCAAAGTTGGCATCCTACACTTTGCTGATGATATGCATGTCTGTGGAGTTGGAATGGCTTTGCTTGAATGAAGTATATATCTCAGGTGTCTTTTAAAAGCTGCCCAGGGAAGCAGGAACTGATACTCTTTTTCTGCTCGATCAATTTTTCAGAAGCAGGAGAGAGATTCAAGCTCTCCTTTAACAAAGTAACCTTTAATCTTCTTTCACCAGAAGGTGGCACTTGTGGGCACCAGGACATTTGCCTTAAAGACTAAAAGCAAAGGAATACAAAGGATGATTGGGAGAAAGCGGGAGTGCTGATGCTCTTACTATTTCCTATTAGTAGTGACTGTGTATTGATTAACATGTTTCAGATACCATGTTCACCTTATTCATCTTTAAAAGTCCTGCAAAGTTTCATGCATTTCAAGTGTGTCATTGCATGTTACAGACGTGAACCACATCCTGGGAGGTTGTTTCTCAAAGGTTACATAGCTAGTAAGTAGTGAAGTGAGATCCAAAACCCCAACTGTTTTTCCATCACGCCAAGCCTGGAACCCAGTGGTTCATGACAGAGGGAAGGAACAGGGCCAGGCTGCTGCCACAGTGAGGCCGCCCATGGCCACTGGTTGTCAGGAAATCAGCCTCTGTTTAAACCCACACTGTGTACACAAACCTCGTCGAGGTTATTGAAGCCCTTCCGCCTCCGTTTGTTCATGTCGTTCTCTCCGGTTTGACCATCCACCTGCAATGGCCAAGAAAGCAGAGTGAGCTCTGGGGGCCAGCAAGGGCTTCAGTCCCACTAAGACCCCTGAGGGCACAGGGCTGCAGATATGTCCCTGTCCGCAAACAGCTGTCAGCCTACAGGCAGCGTAGTGATAAATTACCCTGCACTGTGACAAACGCTGGCACAGAGGTTTGTTCAGGCACAGTGGAGAGAACCTCACCCCATTTAGGAAGCCAAGGCTTCCGTTAGAAGGGGCAGGAATCACATCCCCAAAGATCGTCATGAAACATCAAAGCAAAAAGAATCCCGGTGACATAGGCAGGGCCAGGATGATCTCCATTGCAACGTGGCCTTGGGCTCAGAGCAGTTTAATGGATTTCCCAAGGCCGCAGCCAGGTCTGCTGATGCCCTCAGTGTGCTGCCTTATGGAGCCTACCAGGGGTCTCTCTGCAACCAGGGAGCCTCTCTCCTACAAGAAGGCCACCTGGTTCACCTCACACGGACTCTGAGGACTCAAATGAGCTGCCCAGGGATTTGATGGCAAATCAAGCCTACAATTTGGTCACCGTCACAGATACTAGTAAACAATATTTTATTAACGTCAAATAAGCCTTAACAATAGCCTGATGACTGGCATGACCACACAGCCTAGTTTGCTGGAGGTGTGTGGGGGGGGTGTTTCTGATTTACTGCTTTTTACCCCCTATCTGATTGTTAACAGTGCCCTCTTCACTCCCAGAAATCTCCTGGTTTAGATGATACATGACGTGATTGCCCTATGAGAACCCCTCACAGCCACTCTCTGCTGCATGAATCTGGACATTTAAATCCGGAAAGCCCTGCTCTACCCAAGCCCATTGCGTCACCCTGCAAGGGCTCCCAAAGAGCACTCGGTTGTCGGGCGTGTCTCCTCAGGGAAGGGGCAGAACTCTGGAGGCTGAGCTGATGCTATGGCTGGAATGGGACTGACTGAATTTAGTACTCCTCTGCACCCCATGGGTAAGCCTAACCTTGATACTGGGCTAGGGTCCACCTAGGCTCCCCTATCCTTTCTGGGGTGAGACCTCTCTGCTACCAGTCTCCAGCCACTGGGGCCTTCTCCAAATGGCTAGCTCTCTCAGAACCAGGGAGCCATGTCCCACCGGCCACAGATTGGGGCGGGGAGCATACTACTCTCTCAGAGGGGCCCTCCATAGCAGGCCCACATTAAATCCTAGCTTTGCTACCATTTTGGATGTAGGGGGAAGTGCTACAGGCCACCTGCTCACCCCAAACCCAGGCGTACAGCCCAGTCAGCCCCATAAATCCTAATCTACTTAATCACAGGGGGATTCTTTCACCTCCTGGTTGTTCTGAAACAACAATAGCTACGGGCACCCCAACGCACAGCCCAGTACGCACCCCTCCCTCCAACGGAAAGCACCTGCTTCCTCGTCTCTTGTCCTCTTCATCATCCCCTGCCCTCTCCCCACGTTTGCCAGCCCAGTTTTCTTTCTGTTTGTTTGTCTTTAAAGACAAGATCAACCACAGTTTAGTGCACTGATATTTGTTCAAAAATTTGACCCAGGCAGCACAAAACAACACATCAAAGGGCCCTGCCTTCTCTTGAACATTTTCCTCAGCTTCTAATAAATCATTATTCTGTGAATGGAAATGATTTCAAGCCAAAAGCTTGGGCAAACACCAAGAGAAACAGATGACCTTATTTGCAACAATGTTGGGTCTTAGAGGAACAGGCTGTCTGGACCCCCAGCTCTATAGCCTGGGAATGCTGCTCTGGCCAGCCCAGAGCTGGGGCCTGTGAAGGTACAGAATGTCCTACCCAACAAGAATGCTTCATGCGTAATCTTAGGGGTTTCTGGTTTTTTCGTTTGTTTTTTGTTTTTTGGTTTCTACCTTAAATGAGGATTTGACTTTTCCTCCAAAGAGCAAAACATTTTCTCTCTTTTGTACTCAACAGCCAGGGTGGGACTGTTTCCCTGGAGCCTATACAGATCAAAGACAGCACTATGAGCCAAAGGCTTATGAAAGGTGTTCCTGGGAGACCATGCCCAGCTAGCAGTCCCTGAGAAGACTCCAAATCCTTCAGGGGAAATAAAGGACATGGACAGAGACAACCTCAGTCCCTCTGACCCACCCTGAGCCATGGGTCAACCAAATGTAGTCTATATGGAAAGGTTAGCAACACATATACCCAGGTGGTTTCTACTTTTCCCTATGAATTTAACATTGAAGCTCTGATTCTCAACTAAGAGCTAGGCTAAAGCAAAAAGGTTAAGAACATTCGAACCTAGAGATTTATCTAATTTTTTCTTATCTGTATATCTGTACTTGGGAACCAAAATTGCTTCAGTATTCCCTTGTCCTTGGACCCTATTTTACTCTACAAAGAATTAAAAGTACAAGAAGAAAGAAAATACTGTGCCCAAAGAGAACATGAGAATAAATAACTTATGTTCTTTTCCTATTAATGTTTCCAGCTGTTTCGCCCTAAGAATACTTTCTTATCATGATTGCCCAATCATTTGAAAGAGTCTATATACCAAAAGGCATTTATTAAACTAATTGGTTTCCCCATTAAAAAAAAAGTCAAAGATCTGCCAATCTGAACATTTATTTGATCAGCACAAGATAACCATGTTCCTCTACCATCTGAGTTAATGTGATTTTAGCTCAAGGCAAACAAACTTTATATTTAGTTAGCTGGTATAGCCTAGCCCAGGAATAATTTAGAAATGGGTCATAGGAAGAGACGTTGGCCATTGCAGACTATGGCCTTGTTGACTTGGGCAGCAGCTATGACATTTAGAAAGATGGCCAGTGACACCAGCAAGATAGTGCTTTCTTCAAGGAATCACAGATTTGAGTGCTGGTACTAATTATTTCCCAGCTGTGGGATCTCAGGAAAATCATCCAACTACTTTGACTTCAGTTTCCTTAACTATAAGAAGAGATTTTATATTGTTTAGTTCATAAGGTGCTATGAGAGTAATGAAATCACAGATGTAAAACACTTCTATAAAGTGTTAGACAGTAGTCATCCCTCATCCATGGCAGATACATTCCAAAGCCCCCAGCGGAAACTGGAAACCATGAATAGTGCCGAACCATGTTACTAAATCAAAAAAACATATCTATGTTACCTTAGCTGAGATGGCTAAGGGAACTAATGGGTGGGTGGTGTATACACCATGAATATACTGGACAAAGGGATGATTCACATTCCAGGCAGGATGGAGTGGGAAGGTGTGAGATTTCATCATGCTACTCAGAATGGTGTGCAATCTAAAACTGTGAATTGTTTCTGGAATTTTCCTTTTAATATTTTTGGACCATGAGTGAATACAGGTCACTGAAATCTTGGAAAGCAAAACCGCAGATAAGGTGGGGACTACGGTACAAGGGTTGGACACTATTAGTGAGGCTAGGGTCAGTCACAGGCTTCTATTTTATTTTATTTACCCTTTTTGGGGAAGGGGTCTTGTGGTATTGCCCAGGCTGGAGTGCAGTGGTGTGATCTCAGCTCACTGCAACCTCTATCTCCTGGGTTTAAGTGATTCTCGTGCCTCAGCCTCCCAAGAAGCTAGGAGGGTATACTACCACACAGGCTAGTTTTTGTATTTTTAGTAGAGACAGGGTTTCACCTTGTTGGCCAGGCTGGTCTTGAACTTCTGGCCTCAAGCAATCCACCCACCTCACCCTCCCAAAGTGCTGGGATTACAGGCATGAGACCCCATGCTTGGCAGAGTAACAGAAGTTTAAACATCTGAATTCTACTTCTGGCTTCAACATTTACCACCTACATGACTTATCATCAAAATGTAATCTCTCCAAGTCCAAGTTTCCCTATCTAAAAACTGGCATGAAAATGTGTTCCCAGCCTTCTTCCAAAGGTGACATGAGGAGCAAATGAGATGTATATGAAAGTGTTTTGTATGCTGTAAAGAGCTGTATTGATTGTGGTGGCAGTACAGAACCAAGTTTCAAGCCAGATAGTTTTACTCATCTTTTGAGAAAACAAGCATCTTCATTTAATCATCATTTTAAAAGGAGAGAACTATCATTTACTGATCCCCTTCCAGCTCCCAGACACAGTGCTCAGACCTGCCACACGCATTTGCCCGCCTCATTTATGCAGCAATGCTGTGATGTATATGTTGTTACCCTCATTTCTCAGGCAAGCAAAGGAGCCCTCTGAGAGGCCAGAACATTTGCCAGATCCCCAGCAGACCTCACTATGTGTTTGTCTGCCTGACTTCTAACTGCATTCCCAATCTGTAAACCAGCTCTGAGTCCTGGACTGAGATTGCACAGAGGAAAGGAGAGAGCACAGCTTCAGTCCTGACCTACTGGCACCTGGAGGGGCTGCTCCAGGACCCTGTGCTTGCCCCAGCCTTGGAAGATGGCACTCTTAACTCTCCTAAGCCTTCTTCAAACCTCTGCAATGAGAAGTCCTAAAAACCTAGTGGGGAGCTTTGGCTGCTGGGTGGGTGGTTCTGTGAGAGAAATTGGGGAGGTGGGTAAGAGGAAGTTTGTAAGTCCCACTGGAAGGCAGGCTGCCCAGGCAGGGTCCTTGCTTGTTTCATTCACTGCTCCATCCCCAGTACTAAGGAGAACTCCACATAAAATAGGCACACAATAAACAGTTGTTGAATGAGTGGATGGAAGAGGCACTTTCACACGTAATGCCACCAGGCTCTTCAGAAACTGTCTGTGCAGGTGGGTCAGGAAGAGGGAGGTTGGAGAGGCGGACCTGGACCACCCAGACCAGACACTGACAAAAACGTCAGTCACGTTTTGTGAATGCCACTCTGTCGGGGACCAGTGCTGGAGGAGGAGGAGGACCGGCTGAGCAGGATCAAACCTGGGACCACTTATCTGGCGTCTGGGATGACTTCTGCAGGGAAAAGTGACAACTTTTGTTTTATCTCCCAGGGAGTGGGCTCAAAATGGAACAAAAATGAGTGTCTTGCATATGTGTACAGTAATGACTGTAGTGGCCATAAGTACAGATGTCACCATGAGTGGTAGGTCTAGGAGAGCATTGGCAGGTATTGTGAGTCTGAGTGTGTATGTCTGTGTGTGTGCCTGTGCACACAGGGATGACAGGGGCCATGGTTGTATGTTCAGGTGTCACCAGCATGCATGATGACAAGAGCCCTGGAGCTCCCAGGAACTGTCCCATGCCATGAGGCTTTTAGATGCTCCCCAGGACCACAGACAGAGCTGCAGAAGCAGACCAAGGGCCTCGTAAAAGGCAAATATAATCCCCAAGCCCTGCCTTCTCCAGGCGTGGGCCCCCCAGTCTTCAGAACTAATCAGCCCAACCAGCAACCACTCATGGTGCGATGGAAAAGTTACTGTCTCTAAAAGTAAATAAGATCCTTGATGGAGGAAAAAGTCTTTCATTCTGCTTGAAGTTGATACATCTTGTGGGATTGCACATTGTCAGGAAGGTAAGTTTAGGGAGGAAAGAAGAATTTAACATCGTCAGTGAAAACCAGGAGGGAGATTAGTGGAGCCCCTTCAGATGAAGATGCCACATTGTAAACACATGTGCACTCACAGCTCAATTCCCACGTCAAGATATTCCTCTGGAAGATGGAGAGGAAGTTAGAGAGGGGCAGGGAGGAAGGTCAGATACAGATATCCATAGGTACAGATATTGTCTGTGTTTGCAGGGAGGGCTATTGTATAGACTCGTGCAAGCAAGGTCTGGCCTGTATCTCTACTCCTGAAGGGCTGATTAGCAAGGTCATTGAGGGTTGCATGTTTTGTTGTACTGGCATCTTGGTGTAAACGTGAGGGAGCCTCTATGCACAGATGTGGATGTGTGAATGTATTTCAGAGTCTTCTGTGCAGACATCTGTGGCTCTGCAGGACCAGGCCAGGGTGGACTCAACACACTTTGCTAGTGGGAAATGCTGAGGCCAAAGATCATTGCCGTTATGTTCCCTGAATCAAAAAAGCATTCAGATACAGCAAGGTGTCCGGTGGGACGGGAAGAAGGTACTTTCTACGTGCCCTGATCATTGTGCTGGCATTGAGTGGTAGACAAAACAAGAGAAGAACAAATACAATGCCCATGCCAGGCACTTAACCCAATGGCCAAATCTCTTCACCTATCCAAAGATGGGGCAGAGTGCAGAGATTAAATGAGGCTGTGGGAGAGAACAGATCTGTGGGCCTTGACTCCTCTCAAAGTGGGCAGCCAAGGGACACACCCTGAAGACTCAACAGGGTTCAAAAGGGGCCAGGATTGGCCAGCAGAGCCCACACCACAAGCAGTTTCTAGCAGAGCCAGAGGGAAGCGGAGTGAGGCCCTTAACCCTTGGAAGGCCTGGCTGGCCTTGCTAATTCCTGACTTCTCACTGTCCCCACCTCCTGAGCCGGTGCTGGCCAGGCTATTTCAATGCCGTCACTCTGTCAACAGAGGTGTGGTGGGAGAAAGGTTGAAACATCCTTCTCCAGTTCCCTCTGTGGGCCAAGTGGGAGAAACACAGTGTATGGGGAAAGGCAGTCAATGCCTGGCGTAGAGAGCTTCCAGAAACTCCAACTGGCTTGTCTGGGGCAAAACAGCCTAAGACAGGGGTCCTTGGGCTGCAGGTAGAACAAGCTAACCACTGGTATCCAGAAGAGAGCACCATTCGCTCACTGAGAACAAGGTGGGCAAGGCAGCCCTCACGCAGAGCCTCTGGGTTGGGCCAGCTCAGAGCGGGGAGCGGCTGGGTACAGCTCATCATTTTAACTGCTCTGTTGCTCAGCTGAAGCCTTGCTAGCCCATTCCTTCCTAGAGCTAGGGAGCAGCAAAAGCATGAAATATCCTGCTCCTAGAGTTAGCGAAACAGCTGCTACAATGTCCCAGGGAGCAGGGAGTGCAGGCCTCAGTGGAAAAAGTGAACACTGCTCATAGCCCAGGGAAAGAAAGGAGGCTGGGCAGCCCCACCCTAGGGTGGAAGGCTGGCCGGATATGGCTGTCTTGGCCAAGCTTAAAGAGACTGTTGGCCACTAGAGAGACTCAGAAACTTGCAGAGGCCTCCAGCCCACTGTCCTGTTGGTGGAGGGCACCCTGCCATCCTGAGGAGGGCAGGCCAGCTCTGGGCAGGGACTTACAACTGCCCCCACCCAAAGCCACCCCTGCTCCCACCAGTGGCCTCACTCTGGTCTTATTCTCCTCCATCCATCTTCTCTCCTCTGCTCCCACTGACTACCCAGGGACTCCCTACTCCAGTCCTAGAACTCTGACATTTGCCATCTGCCCCATCGTATCCACATCCCATAGGCTGTCCTCAGCCCTCACCCTGGCTGGCTTCCCTGTTGCCTGGCTTGGTCTCCAGGGCCTACCGTGTAGAAGCACTCTCCTCCCGGGGCTTCCCGGCTCCCTCCCTGCCTTTCCAACTGTCCCTTCCCCGGCTGCTCTGCCTCTGCCAGCCCCTTAAACTCTCTTGTTCCCCCAGGTTTAGAACCCTGGTTCTCAGTTTTCTCCCTCTCTTCCCAGCGTCTATCTTCCCAACTGGATTCCAAGGTCAAGCTGCACATCACTTCTGCATGTCCTATAACTGGATATATAACAAATGCCTTTTAATGAGTGGACTGCTTAGTGTGAAAAAAGCCTGGGGTAGAGGCAAAGCAATGAAGTACAACAGAGTAGCAGGTGACCTGCCCAAGGCACCCAGCCTCTCTAGGTCTCCATTTTTTTTTTTTTTGAGGCGGAGTTTCGCTCTTGTTGCCCAGGCTGGAGTGCAATGGCACTATCTCGGCTCACTGCAACCTCTGCCTCCTGAGTTCAAGTGATTCTCCTGCCTCAGCCTCCCAAGTAGCTGGGATTATAGGCACCTGCCACCTATAGGAGAGCCCAATATATATTTGTTGAATGAATACAATATATATTTGTTGAATTCATGGAATGAATGAATTCCATGAATAAATACAAGTTAATGGAACAGATGGGTGGACGGAGCATGAGTGCCATGCACTTCTGCCACTAAACTGATGGCCATCACGTTCCGGATCTAAACTGCTCCACACAGTGAGAAATCATTTCATCCCCATGTCTCAGGAAGCAGAGCTGATCTGATTTGCTTCTAAAAGCATTCACCAATATGTCCTATCAGCTCATGATCATGTCCTTCCTATAACCACTCTGAAGTCATTGAACTAGCTACACAGTGCCAGGAAGAACTTCGGAAAACACTCAGTCATGAATCCGAGCTTTACCGGTATCTTCAGGGAGCGCCTGGTCCATGTAACTTACTAGCATCAACAGACTGAGCATATGATATTCTCCGCTCCTCATACCCTGTCCATGTGCAATGGGAAATACAACAAAAACCAAGCCAAAACTTACTCGTGGAGTCCTCTTCCTTGGAAATGTGAGGTTGAGATAGTTATTAGAAATGGATGATTTGGCCAAGCTGAGGTCAGCATTTTCTCCATAATTTTTGCGCCAAGAATCTGTTGGGAAATAAAAGTGCAACTGCCATTTGGATCCTGACTCATGGAAGTGTGGCTATAACATGGAGGTGTCATTGTAACCAGGTCCCTCTAAAATAATTCCCTTACCCCAAACTCAAGATGTAAATGACATACAGATCCACTTATGCACACAGGGGCTGGGTGAGTGAAGTCACCCCTGTTTGGCCTCAAAGTCAAGGGGAACATATTGGGCAGCCCCAGAAAAGACCATCCCAGTGTTCGAAGCAGCCAGACTCAGTGACAGGGACAGCGACGGCTCAAGGGGCCAAGCAACATCTCTGTGCAGGTGCTTACCCATGGGCCTCAGCGGGGTGCCCCGGAAGAGCTCGTAGAACTTGGAGAGGTACATGACCATGCTGAGCTTGTCAGGTTCCTGGGCAGATGCCATCTCTTTGCCCGTGGTCACTGGAGGGATCCCAAACTCTCGCTCGGCCACATCGAATGCGAGCTGGTTGTTCTCCACAGCATCATCTTCATTCAAAGAGTCAAAGTTGCTAGAGAATCAAAGTACAGAAATTCAGGGAGACGAGGCAGAGGTGGGGTGCACTGAGCACCTCCAGCTGGTAAGGAGCACTGAGGGTGACACTCTGCCACATGTCGGCGGGCTGTGGGGAAGGAACAGTAACCCCCAACCCCTACCCCCAGTTCTCACCCCACCACCCCACTGGTCATGAAGCGACAAAATCAGACTCGGGCCATGATGACATAATTGCTGCGTGGGCTAAAACCATCAGAAAATGATTTAAACCTCTTGGGAAAATTCATGAGCTATTTTACTTTTAAATATCTTTTTTTTTTAAATTACAAAAGTAAAATGGGCATCTTGTAAAAAAAAAAATCAAGTTATATATCATATAAAATTAAAAGGGAGCCCAGGGGCAGTGGCTCAAGCCTGTAATCCCAGCACTTTGGGAGGCCGAGGCAGGCAGATCACTTGAGCTCAGGAGTTCGACACCAGGCTGGCCAACATGGCAAAATCCCATTTCTACTAAAAATACAAAAATTAGCTGGCTGTGGTGGCGGGCACCTGTAATCCTAGCTACTCGGGAGGCTGATGATACAGGATAATCACTTGAACCCAGGAGGCGGAGGTTGCCATGAGCTGAGATCAGCCTGGGCAACACAGCAAGAGATTCCATCTTAAAAAAAAAAAAAAAGAGGCAAGTCCATCCTCTTAAGGCAGCCTTGCTTCCTAAGGTACCAAATGATAGCCCTTGGGTAGGTTTCCTTCCAGCCTATTGTGGTAGATTTGCACCTGGTCAGGAAGTTATGCTGCTGCTGATTTACATACAGATGCATCAAGCTTTGGCATCACGGTGTTTCCTCAAATATAACCTGATCTCCCCAATGCTCCTGCTGTTTTTTCTAATTTGCAGATGAAGAATCTAAAGCTCAGAGAAGGCAAGTGGCTTGCCCAAGGACACACAGCTTGTGGATCTGGATTTCAATCCTAATTCTGTAAAACCCTCAAACTAGTCCCTGGAATTAGGTCTGGCCCATAACTCCTCTCTTGAAGGTGGAGCTCCAATGTATGAATGCTCAAATTTCTGAAGAGTGTGGTAGTAGGGGCGCGGGGGGAGGTCAGTAAGAGTGCAGTCACTAAGCCTGATTTTTATTCTCACGTATTAGGAACACAGATCAATCAGTGCAAAGGGAAAAGAACAAATGTAAGAAAAAATTCAAATTGAAACACAAAAAGAGAAATACTGAATCAAGTAATGGAGATTCTGCACGCAGCAGAATGGCCTTGGCATCCCTTGTCTCCAGGGGCCAGCCTGGGCCCCAGACTCACATGAGCTCAGGCCGGAAGCGGTGGATGATGGCACACAGGGCCAAGCCGCTGCGCCAGGATGTGGTCAGGTCAGTGACGTTGACATGCTGGTAGCCCTCTGTCTGCTGCTGGCACCAGGTTAGGAGCTTGCTGGGCCGGATATCTGACTCTGCAAGTAGGAGAACGCAGGCAGTGAGATTCTGCAGGAATCTCACACAGCCCAACCTGGATCCCCTCTCATTGCCACTGTGGCTGGTGACCAGGAAGAGTGGCCCCAAGGCAAGGGGCCAGGGAAGGGGGCCATTGGCATGGGTGCAGCGCCCTGAGGACTGCTGCTTGGGGGCCTGATCAAGAGTGTGGCAGGAGGGGAGAGGGAGCATGTTCTCTTCCAGCAGAGTCCCTGAGACCCACTGTGTCTAGGCCCTGTCAATAACATGCTCATCTAGTGGGGAAGACAGTCGCAGAGGAGATGACAATGACACAGGACTGTGATGGAGGGAGAAGCAGGGGGCTGTGGGAGCACATAGCACATTTGCCTGAGTCTGCTCTGGGAGGGGAATTCTCAAAAAAAAAAAAAAAAAAAAAACAAAGAAAAGTCATGGGGAGGTGCATTTGAGCTCGTTCTTTAAGAGCATCTAGGAACTTATCAGACGGAAGAGATCATTCCAGGAGAACAGAAAGGGCTGTGCAGTGGCAAAGAATCTAGAAAAACCTGCTATGTTTGTGCAATGCTAAAATGGTTGATTATAGTAAGCGGTTTACTATAGCAGTAGGCACATCATGGTGTGTGGACGGGATGGAGGAGTACAGCTGAGTCTGCCTAAGGAAGGAGGGGAGGCAAAGCCTGGACAGGCACAGGTAGCCAAAGAGGTCTCTAAGCAAGACAGCATCCTGGGCCGAGCTGGGCGCTGGGAGTTCCTCACTGAACCATCCCTTCTCCCTGCGTTGAGCACCGGCCCTGTGCCCAGCGCACTGCTAGGCCAGGATGATCGGGAAAAGGGTGAAATGCATTAAGCTCATTATCTACTTATGGGGACGGGACCTCCATGCTGGAAACAACAGGAAAATAAGAACAAGTCTCAGTGAAATAATCCCCGGTTCACGTTTACTATGTGAAGCTCTCAACACATACTAGCTCCTTTCATCCTCACAGTGATTCTGTGGGCAGGGGTTCTCTTGGTCTTACAGAGGAGGAACCTGGAGTACAAAGAGGAGAGGTGCCTGCCCACGGTCACACAGGTAAAGGGGCAGAGCCAGGCTGGCTGCAGAGCCTGTGTCACCATGGTCACTGAACAGGCCTCCTCCCCTCGAAGCCTTCCCAGCCACCTATCACAGTCCCAGGAGAGCCACTCACCCCTCCTGGAGAGGCTGACAGATCTCCTCACTGAGCCCAGTCTCTCGAGAGGGTAGCGGTCCAGCTCCTTAGTGATGTACAAATGCTTCACCTATGAGCAAGAGAGACAACATGCTTGCCCACCAGTTCTCCCCCAAATCCTAGTCTCAGGGCCCCTAAACTTGACTCACCCTCAATTCAGTGCCTGCCACCATTTTCCGCTATTGCTGGGAGGCATGACCTTCAGCAAGGGAACCTGGCAACTTAAGCCATAGAACGATGGACCTCAATCATCCACCCAAATGCAGGCAAACTAAGTGGGAATGTGTGTAGCTAATTTGTGTGTATGTAATTAGCTAATTTTAAAAGTTCACACAATTTTCTTTTCTATTGACCAAAGAGGTTGGGAGTTTGGTGGTTCTAAATCAGTGGAAGCAGAAATGGACTCCAGGACATGGGTGGTATGCAGAGAGCATATTTGGCCAAGTAGATTATTTGAGACAGATAAGATCAGCAATGCATACGCATAGTGACAAGTTAATATATGTAAATACATGCACATACGCATCTCTCTCTCTCTCTCCACATATGGGTTTTAGTTCTGTCCTGTGGGCTAGAAAGGAGGCTGACTCTACTGGGGAAAGGAACTGGTCCCACCAGTAGCCCAGCAGGCCTTGGTGGCCTCTGTCCAGGGAATGGGCCAAAATTGTATGTGACCCCCTCCCCACTGCCTCTTCCCACTGTCCAGAGTGATTCAGACAGGCCCCAGGATTGACTTGCCTGATGGGGCCGGACACAGTGTGAGTTAAGGTTTGGGTACCGCGTCCCTGGGTCCAACGTGTACTGCTCAAAGTTCTTGTTGATGTTCTCTGGGGTTGTCTGAGGTAACAGCCGGTAGAGACTTTCCCTGGAGAGAGGTGGAGCCTGGAGGTCAGGGGTCACTTTTGCCACCTCAGGCCTTGTCCCCACCCTTCCCCTCTTCCCCCTTCCTCTGGCTCAAGGTCTTCCTGGAAATGTTTGTTTAACCCTTCCCTGAAATGCCTGACACTCCTGGTTCCTGGTTCTTGAGATCTGTGAAGTGGGGAGAAGGTCAAAGGGGCCAAGTGGAAAGGGGCGCCTGGGTGATGGGGATGCCAGGCTCCTCCCCCTGGGGAAGAGGGGAGGCATGCAGGGCTGGCAGCACAGTGGCCTGTGGTTTTGCCATAACTATGCTCAGCCACACTGCCTCCTGCGGCCTGCTCCCCATGGCCACAGGCTTCCACACCCAAGACTGTCAGAGGCCTGTTGCCGCCCGCCAGCCCTGACCTCCCCCAGTCCACCAGCTGTCACAGCCACGTGGCTGGCAGCAGGGGTCTGGGAAGAAGCCCAGCATCTCAGCAGTGGGAGAGGCCTGGAAAACCAGAGAATCCAAACCCCATCCAGGACAGGAGACTCAGCACTGCCCTGGAAGATTCCCTTAAATAAACCTCTCTGGCTCTTGGGTGAATGAGCAATGTGGGGGAGCCCCAGCTGCAGGGCCAGCCAGGATGAAGATTTTTCTGTGGCATTCAGGGCTTAAGGTCCTGGCCCCTAGAGAAAGTCACTGTAAGAGTCCGATCATGATGAAGAAAGCATCCTTGGGCATGCTGATGATCAAATCAGGCCACATATGGGAAGGCAGAATAGAGGAGGCAGAGGCTCCAGGTATATCCAGCAGTCACCCGAGGGGTGATCTTTCCCCTTTCCTGCCGGAGTGGCCCTGCCCCCCAGTTAGGAGCCCTGCAGTCAAAGCTCACCTTTCAGCCAGCAGCTCCAGGGGAGGGGTGCCCTGGTTCCAGTTCTTCACCATCCATGCCGTGTCAAAGGCTGCCAGGAAGCCACGGGCACAGCCGGTACCCATGGGCCAAAATGGCTGCAAAAGAAAACACGCAAAATTCCAGTAGATTCTGATGACTCCCAATCTACAATCTCATTGTACCCAGAACACACTGATTACCAGGAATGTGCGGGGCACTGGAGGGACAGCGAGGTGACAGAGCAGGGACCCTGCTACCTACGAGGATTCACTGCAAGCTCAAATAATGGTGCAGAGAGTCAAATGTAAAGAGTGCTATGATGCAAGCATAACAAAACTGCTCTAGGTCTCAGAAAAGGCGAGACAAATTCCCATCCTGGGAGAGGGGGATGGAAAACAGAATAAGCTTCTTAAGAGTTGCACTGGCTGGGCATGGTGGCTCACGACTGTAAACCCAGCACTTTGGGAGGCCGAGGCAGGCGGATCACCTGAGGCCAGGAGTTCGAGACCAGCCTGGCCAACATAGTGAAACCCTGTCTCTACTAAAAAATACAAAAAATTAGCTGGGCTTGGTGGTGGGTGCCTGTAATCCCAGCTACTCTGGAGGGTGAGATAGGAGAATGGGTTGAACTTGGGAAGAGGAAGTTGCAGTGAGCCGAGATCGCACCATTGCACTCCAGCCCAGGCAACAGTGTGAGACTCCATCTCAAAAAAAAAAAAAAAAAAAAAAAGAGTTGCATTAAGCTGATCTTAACAAATGGATGGGATTCTGAACCTGATCTACTTGGGAATAATATGGGCAAAGGCGCTGTAGTTGGAAAATGCTGGCGCCTGATGGAAGAACAGCCGTCTGTTGCAGGTGTGACATAAAGCATGGGAGGAGGGTAGGGAGAAACCAAGCTGGGAAAAGAGCTAATTATATACACATCAATTAGCTACAAATCCTGCTATACCCAAAGCAGGAAGGCTACTGAGGACTCAGCCATGGCTCTTAGGTTCGAGTCCATGCACAATGGTGCCCAAGGACCCAGTCAACCAAGCTAAGTGCTGACTAATCTGCTCCATGAGCACCCAAAGCATGGTTCGGAATTTGACTCTTAACTTGGAAAAAATACATAATCAGTGCTCACACTAAAGAGAAAAATTTCTCCTTTCTGAACACAGGCATTTAATCTAAGGGTCCTTGCACCCTTGCAGATTTTCTGGGAAGAATTTTCAGCAGGGAAGCTATGAATGGAAAGGAGACTTTGGGGACCATGCACCTCTCCTGCACCCTATGTGATCTCCAAAACCACAAAGGGCCACACATACGCTCTGAGAGGGATGGCCCATATGGCCCAGGCCGGGGCTGCCTGATGTTGTACTTCATCAAAGAAGTCAGTGCAAAAGAGCCAAGAGAGAGAAAAGAAAGCTCTCCTAACTACACAGAAGCGGAACCGCCTCGTCTGAAGGCAGCAACAGGACAGGCTCTAGGGCCGGAACAGGCTTGGCAGAGTCCTGCCAACTGGCTGGGAGCCTGTCCTCTCCCCGCTGCAAAACAGCAGATAGTGCCTGCCAGGATATTAATGTGGGATCTGTCTCGCAGAGGAACGTGGGGGCTCCAAGCACAGGCGGTACCTCAAGCAAGCTGTCACCCACGAGGGCCACGAGCAGCTGGTGTGCCTGCCGCTCCCGCACCAGGGCCGCATTCTCTGAGGCATACATGGAGGTGAAGTCAAACATCGCCACATCGGGCTGCCCATAGTGGTTCATGGCAAAGTCTAAGGATGGCAGCTGGTAGTTGGTGGCAAAGTCTGCAGCTTCCCGAGCATAGGAGAGCAGGTTGTCCTGGTTCACGTTCTCCGCACACAGCAGCATCTCTGTGTCGATGTAGTCCTAGGGAAGATCAAAACACGGTGCGGCAACCAGCAACCTCCCCCTCTAAAGGGCTAGCCTTTAGACCCACGTCTTGGCAAAAAAAAGGACTTGGAATGGGTCTACGCAGTGAGGTGAATCAAAACAGAAATAGAAAAATCAGGGTCAAGGGAATAAAGAGGAAATAAATCAGCCAGCTGTGAGGGTTAACATGGTTGTGATTAAGCATCAAATTTGGCTTTGAGCTTCCTGGTATCCAAGGCAAAAGGGAAATGTGATATGCCACAGAGCTTTCCTTATCAGAAAGAAGGAAGCATAGAAATTCCTCAGGGCAGGCAATTTTTTCCTGGCATTAAATTCTAAAAGATCTGTCTCACGTAGGAATTTCAACAGGGTATGTTGAGAGTTGTAATGAACAGTACACTTGATAATGGTCTTAGAGCAAACAACAAGCCAATTTCACAGCGCTGGTTCTCATGAGAACTTTCAGTACAATTACGAGACAAAGGAACCATCAGAAAGTGTGGTTTTATAATAAACTCAGCTAAGCTGATGTGATCAGATACGCCATGTTTAGTGGTCAAACAAGACTGGAAAAGAAAATGGGTACCCTCTCATGCTTTCTCTCCAGAATCAGTCACCCCTTTACTTGATGGGCTGAGGGGTCCCCAGAGCTTGGCTTTGCTTTTGGTGCTAATTGTTATGCTTCTCTAATCAGGGGTGCAGAGCCCTTAGCTGCGAGGACTGGAAATCCATCCTGGAGGGACACTAGCGATGAACCACAGGATGTCAGGATCGAAGACAGCCGGCAAGGTTAGTGTATTCCCCGAGTCCAAGCTGCTCATCGTGTGGCTAAAGAAACTAAAAGACCACCCTTCTCAAAAGTGACACAAAAAGTAAAGACACCTGGAGAGGGAGGGGACCAGTGTGTAACATGAACACAGGCTTAGGGGTCAGGGAGAGCCACGGGTCAAAGTCTACTTCTGCTGTTTACTGACTAAATCTGGGCAAGTTATTTAACTTTTCAGAGTCTCCGCTCTCTTTGTGAAAAGGGAATATTAAACCCTACATCACAGAGCCATGTGAGGGATGGAATGAGTGTACACATGAAATCCCTAGCCCCGTGTGGGAAGTGCTCAATGAATGGGAATTCCTGTCCCCTGTAATTCATGCTGGCCTCGGATGGCTTATGACGAAGTGTATCCTGGACCCGGCCAAGGTATCCTCAATTACAAAGGTCTTGACAGTCACAGAGCACTGTATCTACAGCCAGAGTGACCCCTGTCTCAATTTTCTGAGTAGCCATGATTTCAAATATCCTGTTCTGAAAACTCATATTTCCACATCCAGACTATACCCCCCAAATTGCACTGGTCCAAGAGCTCTTTGTCAGGCCCTGGTGTCCGGGTTGAAATTCCTGTTATTTGGTTCCTTTCTGATCCCTGTTACTATAGTCACATGATCACTTCTCTCTCTGAAGGCGTGGAGGTGAGATGGGGGAAGAGAGAAGGGAGCGGTCTCAAACACCCCTGCTCAAAACATGCCCCAAGCATCCCTAAGATGGAGTGGATAACACAACGAAGATGGTGCCTGGCATAGGTGCCTCATGCAGGAGAGTGAGGACCCAGCAATGGGAGGACACTAGGCTAGAGCTGGCTAGAAGACTACTGGCCTGGGGCTGCTGTAGGGTCTCTTAGCGGCTGGAGGGTCCCAGATGAGTGGAGGGATAGAAGAAGGAGCAGAACCATAGGGAGCATAGAATCAGATGATGACAAGGGCAGGAGGACAGAATCCCAGCTCACACATGTGTAGGCCAGCAGAGGCAGGGGCCTAGGGAAGACCTGGTATGGGACATCTTCCTTGTAGGGGAAGAGAAAGATGGACACAGCTCAGAGCCCAGAGGCATGGCTGCTTGAAGAGAAACTTGACTCTTCCTTCAGTAGCCATGGAAAGAAGCCCAGAGATCAGCTGGAATCAATGGGGAAGCAGGAAAACCTCTTGTCCAGAGGCCAGTCAGTCATTCAACAAACACTTACTCAGCACCTTCCATGTGGCAGTAGGGAGATGCGGATCCATGTAGGGAGAGGAAAACAGAAAACTTGTCATTTCCCCAGGGAGCAAGAGAAGAATGTAAATTTAAGTGGTTCAGGGAAGATGGGTCGGGAATTTGGCTGGACACCTGGAGGCTCAGGCTATAGCTCTTGTTCCAATCAGGTGTTCAGCCTGTGGCCTCCAATTTCCTTCCCATCTTGTACCTTGAAGCTCCTCAGCACCAGCTCAGGAGCTGCTCCCAGGGGTCTCTGAAGGAGAAAGAAGGGCCTTGGTGAAGACAAGCATGGGCCTAGAGGGGCTTTGCCAACTGCCAGGGAAGCAAGTTGCCATGAGCAACTTGTCGCTGCCTGGGCAAACACCCTGGGATGACCTGAGGGTGACCTTAGCATCCCAGGAGGCCAGGGTGCTCCGCCAGCACAACACAAAACCCGTCAAACTTTGCCTGCCTGCCTAGCTCCTCTTCTGCAAAGGTGCCCACTACCCCTACACCCCCACACCCCACAGTGGTCCTTCTCTATCTGACGCAGTTTCAGACTAAGGCAGCAACTTCAGGAGGGATGCCTGTGAGGCAGAGGGAAGAAGGGGCCGCCGCCACTCCCAGACTGACAGCCAGCAATGGGACACTGCTGAAGCCCATTGCCCACCCATCTGCTGGCGTGCTCAGCCCACTTCGCCAAGCCCACATTCACAGCCTCCGTCCACAACCCCAGCTCTCAGCAAAGACCTGAGGAAGTGGAGGAAGCCCTCGGGACAGCTGGGTTACTAACACCGCCCGGCCAGCTGCCAGCACATGCAGGAGAGAAGATAGGCGCATTCTTCTCTGACAAGCAGCGATGGATGGCCACTGTGCTGCCTGGGCTCCAGGCCGACACCCAGACAGCAGGCTGACCTTGGGCTGCGCGATCCTTGTCTTGAGGTTGTAGCAGCAGTGGTGACAACAGCAGCAACAACAGGGGCTCTGGAAGGGCCGCGCACCTGACCGAAGAAGCCTCCAGTCAGGGGCCGCTACTCCATGTATTTCTTCCTTCCAACACTACCCTGTGTTTAAGCATGAAGTTGCAAAGCCATGAAGCAGGGGCCAGAGGCCAGCAGGTCAAAAAAGCCGGTATGCAAACAAGGCTGAGAAGTTACAGAGGGAATCTAGGAACCCACCATCAGCCAGGCACTGTGCCAGGCGCTCGGTATGTATCTTCTATTTGCTCCTTCCAAGAACCCTTTCAGGCAGAAACTTTCATTCCTTTTTTGTAGATGAGAAGACTGAGGTTCAGAAGGATGCACAGTTTGCCCACAGTCTGGAGTTGGTACGTGGCAGAGTCAAGATGCAGATGGAGTCTTTTTGACTGCATGAATGGTGACCCTTCCCCCACACTGTGACAAGGATCCACAGTGTGAAATTCACAAGTCAAAGCATGCCTATGTCTCATTAGGACAAGGAGCCCCCATCTGCCTACAAATGACATGTGGCCTCCCAGAGAGGTGGCAAGGCTGGATGAGACTTGGGAAGGAAAAGACTCAGTCTATCCACACTAACACCTAGTAAAGGTCTCAAAGCAGCACACACCCCTCTGCAGAAAATTCTCTGTGCATATTGGCAGGGGCTCCTTTATCCACCACTCATGTAACACCAAGAGAAAGAAGGTTGTGAGTGGGTGGCACCTTCCCCCTCTTCCCCTCACTCAGTTTCTGGCAGGACTATATCTGCTTTCACACCTGCTGATGTCACCAGCCCAGGTGGCGAAGTTGGGAAATTGCAGCCAAGAGGTACGTACATTAATGATGACACCTTTGTCCAGCAGGCTCTGCTTCTTGGCTGTCATGACAAAATAGTGGGTGCAGTCCTTGTAGTAAACAATGTTCTCAAGATCTATGCCTGAAACGAGAAGCATTCACAGACTCAGTGTTACTTTCTTGGCACCAACTGTGCACCAGAAACTGTACTGTGCCTCATTGGTCTTGTTATTTATCTGTAGAATATTCATATTAGACCAGTTTTTAAGGCATACAAGCCTGGAAAAGATAAAACAGCGTATTAGAATCTACCCAAGTCACAGTAGCTAGCTTCTATAGTTCCATTGAGGCATTATTCCTATTAAAACTCACAACGGGGCCAGGTGTGGTGGCTCATATCTGTAATCCTAGCACTTTGGGAGGCCGAGGGGGCGGATCACCTGAGGTCAGGAGTTCAAGACCAGCCTGGCCAACCTGGTAAATCTCATCTCTACTAAAAATACAAAGATTAGCTGGGCATGGTGGTGGGCACCTGTAATCCCAGCTACTCAGGAGGCTAAGGCAGGAGAATCACTTGAACCCAGGAGGCGGAGGTTGCAGTGAGGCGAGACTGCACCATTGAACTCCAGCCTGGGCAACAGAGCAAGACTCTGTCTCAAAAAAAACACAAACAAAAAACCCAAAAAATAACACACAAAAAACTCACAACGTCTGTAGGAGGTAGGAGTTGTCGGCCAGTATTTATAAGTTAGAGCCATGTAATTGTGCAGGAAAGCCAAGTGTCGGCCATGGCCACAGAAGCTGTCCACTGTGCTCTCCATGTGGCCACAGCTGCATAGAACTGTGGGAGTTCTCCAATGGCTATGCCAAGGAATATTTCTACATTTCCCTGCTTATATGTGAAAACCCGAGTGCAGTGGTGGAAACAACTCAGAGGAGAAGGCTGGGCTGTATCTTATTGTGCTTTCCACGGATCACAGACATTTTACACACTAAGCTCCTGCATTTCAAACCATGCTGTGCAATGAGAGCTTAGCTCCATGGTTCTCAAAGGGAGGTCCCCGGCCAACAGCATTAGCATCACCTGAGAACATATTAGAAATCAGAAACGCACATTATCAGGTTCCTTCTCCAGACCTACTTATTCAGAAACCCTGGAAATAGGGCCAGCATGCTGTGTTTTAACAAGCTCTAGGTGATGCCAATTCACACTCAAGTTTGAGGCTGACTGGCTTATTTGAAGGGAGAGAAAGGGACAGACACATGGCGACATATCAGCATTTAACACAAGGCGTGCTGGGTAACCATAGGAACACCTTCATTACAGTGAAATAGGAAACAGCCATCAACGCCGAGGACCCCTGGGAGAATCAGGAAGTTCACAGCTGTCACTGTGTGAGGGCACTGTTGTGAAACAGCGGCCGAAGGTGAAAACCACAGGAAAGTTTAAAGGAAGTTCACTGACACGTGGAAAAACACACTCCATGTCCTGCTCTCATTTATTTTTAGCGGCTTAAGTATTTATTTTCTTGATTTTTTAGGGAAAGGGACGGTTGAAGGATTCTCAAATCATTCCAAAGGACATCACAGGCTGGCAGGAAATATTCAAGCTTTTAATGAAATAATGCAACAGGGGGTGAAACTCGGAGGGCCATGCAGTGGGCGCACACCCTCCTGGCCGGTGAGAGGCACAATCTCACTCAATAACTAATGCCATTCCTAGAAAATCACCTTGGCTGAGTGCAGTGGCTCACACCTATAATCCCAGCACTTTGGGAGGCTGAGGCGGGGCGGATAACCTGAGGTCAGGAGCTTAAGACCAGACTGACCAACATGGAGAAACCCAGTCTCTATTAAAAGTACAAAAAATTAGCTAGGCGTGGTGGAGCATGCCTGTAATCCCAGCTACTTGGGAGGCTGAGGCACGAGAATTGCTTGAATCCAGGAGGTGGAGGTGGCCGTGAGCTGAGATCGTGCCGTTGCACTCCAGCCTGGGGACAAGAGCAAAACTCCCTCTCAAAAACAAAAAAAAAAAAAGATCTTAAAGAAATAGTTTAACAGAAGCAGTGTCATCTGTAATAGTAAATAATTGGAAGGCCTAAATTAGAGGTCAGCAAGTTTTTTTGTGTGTGTGTGATGGACCAGCTAGGAACTATTTCTGGCCTGTGGGTCATATGGTCTCTTTCACGACCTCTCACAGCGGAAGCAGCCATGGAGAGTAATGTAAAGAAATGGGCATGGTTGGATGACAATCAGCCTTTATTGATGGATACTGAAATTTGAATTTTAAATAATTTTCATGTGTCACAAAATATTCTTTTGATGGTTTTCTTCAGCCTCTATATAAAACCATTCTTAGCTCAATAGCAATATGGAACAATGTGGCCAATCACAGTTTGCTAATCCCTGGTTTCAGTGCTCAGGCAACGACAATACATCAATTTGATGAGACATTCCACAGTCCCTAAAAGTGACCACGAGGAGGATGACGTGTGGAATGTGAGGCTGAACGAGAAAAGCTGAATAAAGAGTGTGGATACCGTGATTCAAGCTACAGTCACGTAACAAGCAAGCACGCCCATGGAAAATTACGGAAAAGGAGTAGGTGAGTCTGACGACTATTCCCATGTGAGGTTATCAGATTGTGAATGATTTATTGTCCATATAAAGATTTGATTTAATGTTGTTACACTGCTTTTCAAGGAGATATATGTGTTTTTAATCAGGTTAAAAAGAAAGGAAAAATATGTGGAATTTACTTACCTGGAGACAGACGACTCACCCCCCTTTCCCCTCACCCTGTTTTTTTTTTCTCTACTGTCCCTGTTACCACCTGATGTGTCACTGATTTATTTGTGTATTGACTGTCTATTCCCATAGAATATAAGCCCAGGGGGGAGGGATTTTGTTTTGCACACTGTACTCATTCTCAAGCTCCAGAACAGCATCTGACACATAGTAGGCATTCAATCAGTATTAGTTGAGTGAATGAATCAATACCTCCTATCCTCTAGGCCCACGGCAGGGTGACAACTGGTGCCAGTACAGGTCACGTTCCTGGGCATACCCAGATGTCCCACAGCACGAAAGCACCTGGGCTCCTTTAGGAACCGTCTATAGGTTACTGGCTCCCTCCTCAGCATTCCCTAAATATCATGCTGACTTCAGGTAACAGCACCGGCCACCTGCCTTAGGATGGTTTATGCAGAGATCCCTTAATGGACAGGGAGCCGCTGTGAGAGGAATCGTGTCAGCCTCCACTTTGTACTGTATAACACTGAGAATTAGCATGTAATGAGCACTCAGTCAATGTCCGCTAGCTTCTTTCATGCACAACTCCTAGAACATTCCTTCAAGAATCTCTCTTGTCCCAGAAGGAATCCTGTCCGTTGTTATCACTATCCTAGGGAAATCTCTGCTTCCACACAATCAGAGTGAGTCCCTCCAGGCCCAAGAGCCCAGAAAGCCAGCACACGCCTCTGCACACTTTAGAAGCTAAGACGTTGGCCTGGGTGGGAGAAAAGTGAAGGTCCCACCTGTTTCTTCTTTAAGGTCCTGAAAAAATTTCTGATTGAAGATGAAAGCCACACCGCTAATCTCTTCCACCTTGGCCTCCGCTGTGCTGTTTCTGTTTATGAAGTTGGCGGTGATGGCAATCGCCAGCTTCCCACGGAATTCTTTTCTTCTGAACCCTGCATGAGGAGAAGGGAAAAAGTGGGTCTATCTTCTGGATTTGGTGTGAAAACCGGAAATGGTTATTGGGAGAGCTGTTCCCAGATGCCTCCCAGGCCAGTGAAACCAGGATTCTGGATCTCTAGAGTACAGGAGCAGGCAGAAATGCCAAGGTTTGCTCCCAAAGCCTTTAAAAGTCAGTGGGACATTGTCCTTTTCTAAAATCTATAGGACCCGATTAGGCTTCAACAAACAAAAGGCCACAGCGATCCTTCCCAACAGGGCTCACCCTTTTAAGGACGTGTCAAGCACTGTTGCCAGATACACTCATGAGGGACCCACATGCACTTTGAATTTACAGGATGAAAACCACTGTCTTAGCATTTCTCATGGTTCCTCCCCCTGCCCCGCCCCAACCCCCTTGAAAAGTAGATTACATCGAATTCCTGCAGAACAGGAATTCTAACAGATTTTCTTTGCATCTCCAATTTTCTGGGTTGTATTACGTCCCCCACAACACACACACACACAAATTCATGTGCTGAAGTCCTAACCCCAGTACCTCAGTATGTGAACCTATTGGAAATAGTATCATTGCAGGTGTCATTAGCTAAGAGGAGGTCTCACTGGAGTAGGGTGGGGCCCTCCTTACTCCAATATGACTGGTGTCCTTTGAAAAGGGGAAAATAGTGCACCAGTTCCCAGTAACTGGCACTTAGTACATCTGCAATGCATGTATAAATGAATAGATGGAATTCTAACTCTCATTTTTTTTTTTTGTTTTTGAGACAGCGTCTCACTCTGTTGCCCAGGCTGGAGTGCAGTGGTGCCAATCACGGCTCACTGCAGCCTCAACCTCCCAGGCTGAAGCGATCCTCCCTCATCATGTTGCCCAGGCTTAGCGCTCTAATTCTTGTTTTCCATGATTTACATTAAAATTGCTTTTGAATGGTAGTGCCATGGAGGACCCCAGCAGGTGGTATAGGGTAAACACACTGACAGCAATAACTGAAGCATACCTTTAGAATGACCCTGTATGGCCGATGCCCCTGAATGTGTGTTCTGAGCTAGGGAATCCAAGAGTGGCCAACCCTGAGACTTGTTCCTTGTCTATGGGGGACATCTGAGCTCCTGGCCCTTCCTATGGAACATGGACCATACAGGGGGATCGAGGCCCTGAGTTTAGGATCCAGGTGGAGGGGGTTAAGTGAAAATGCTGTATACACTGCATGCTGTTTGCAAGCAGTTGTGGTTTTCCTGCCCAGGCTGCCACCACTGGGCTGTGAGGTTGTGCTGTACAGCCACTGGACCAAAATTATTTATTTCTGTAGGTAAGGCGGGTCTCTTGTCCAGCCCACTGCCACTGGACTCTCCCCTGTGAGTCCCTAATAAAACCCATGTCTCCTTTGCTGGCTCTGGGTCTCTTCTTTGGCCTCTGGAACTTGGTACCTTCCCTATTGAGGTTAACAGGGGTTCCACACAACAGATGGTCACTTTTCATGAGCGTGTCTCCCTCCTAGTCCCGCATCTTGCTGGCATCTGACCCTTCCTGAGTGTCACTGCCCCAGGCGTGCTGTGTGCTTTGTGTAACGCCAGGTGCCTGCTATGCAGGTGCAGACCTCGAGACATCATCTTTCCTCAGCCACCTTCCGGAAGGCCCTGCACATCTGCTCACCATGTACTCCAGCCTCACGCTGATTCTCAATCATCTCTGTCAAAAATCCCTGTTAGTGACAACCTTGGGTTTCTATTCGATAGCCCTCCTCTAAGTTGTCCTTCAGTAGACCTTTGTCAAAAGGGTCAGAAATGGCCATGATTCTCATCTAGCATTTCTTAGCTGGGGGTGATTTTGTTCCCAGGGGCCACTTGGTGAAGTGTGGAGACATTTGGTTGTCATACCTGGGGGTGCTCCCAGTGTCTGTGGGGGCAGAGGCCAGGGATGCTGCTCAACACCCTACAATGCACAGGGCGGTCTCTGTGACAAAGAATGGTGTGGCCCCTGATGTCAGCAGTGTTGATACTGAGAAGCCCTGCTCTAGTTTATGCATTTGGGCCTGAGTAGCTCAAATGACTCCATCACTTCCCACCCTTCTTTCTGTGTTCATGAAATGCCCAGCTATACCCAAGCTGACAGTGGGTCCTGGATGCTCAAATACTCTTTTTTTTTTTTTTGCCGGAGTTTCACTCTTGTGCCAGGCTGCTGGAGTGCAGTGGCATGGTCTCGGCTCACTGCAACCTCTGCCTCCCCGTTTCAAACGATTTTCCTACCTCAGCCTCCCAAGTAGCTGGGACTACAGGCGCCCACCACCACATCTAGCTAATTTTTATTTAATTTTATTTATTGAGATGGGGTTTCGCCATGTTGGCCAGGATGGTCTCAATCTTTTGACCTCGTGATCTGCCCACCTCAGCCTCCCAAAGTGCTGGGATTACAGGCCTGTGCCACCGCATCTGGCCTCAAATATTCTAACTTACATTTTTACCAAGTGTTTAAATTCCAACAATACTACATCCAAGTTGGTAGCTTAAGCATTCCCTGTCAGAGACTGATGACCTATGGTTGGGGAGGTGGGTATGGAAGGGGATAGGAGAGTGGCAAACAGCCCTGGTTATGTGGCAGATGGGAAGGTCCTGAGCCAGGCGGCCCACTGAGTTTTCTAAGATCAGCCCTGTTTCAGGGAGCATGTCCCATTCTCAGAGTGATGTGCCCTCTCAGTCAGGCACCTGCAGCCTGTGGCTCTTGAGGGGGCAAGCTCAAAAAGCAGAACTGCCCTAATCTAAGATGCCACTGGGGCCACGTTGTTTACAACCCACGGTCTCAAATTAGCATGGTCAGTATCAATGAGTACAGCCTGTGGTTGGATCAGTCTTGGTGTTGGAGTGGAGGGGACGGAAGCATTGCCTGACAATGGTGTTCCTCTCACAACCTGACAGGATCTTACCCCATGAAAGACACTATGCTTCAGCTTTAGAACTCAGAGAAGTGTGCTTTATACCTTGACAGTTTGGCAAGATGTGCCTGCCTGCCCAGCAGTGGGTGTGTTTAAAAGTTACAAAAAGAGATGAGTTCTTCCTTCAAGTAAAAGTAATGATACACTTGAAAGTAAGTGAATACTATTAATAGCATAAAAATGTTTATCTCAGCTGAAGTAAGTATGAAAGTGCTCAGCACTAGCTGCGCACGGTGGCTCACGCCTGTAATTCCAGCACTTTGGGAGGCTGAGGCAAGCAGATCACGAGGTCACGAGAACAAGGCCATCCGGGCCAATGTGGTGAAACCCCATCTCTACTAAAAATACAAAAATTAGCTGGGCGTGGTGGTGCAGGCCTGTAGTCCCAGCTACCTGGAAGGTTGAGGTGGGAGAATCGTTCGAACCCGGGAGGTGGAAATCGCAGTGAGCCGAGATCGCGCCACTGCACTCCAGCCTGGGCAACAGAGTGAGACTTCATCTCAAAAAAAAAGCAAAGTGCTCAGCACCATGGCTGGCACATCAGGACGCACTCAATAATGGATGCTGATTTTTTTCCCCCGTGGCACTTTTTTATAAAATATTTTCACATGCTAGTCCTTTCCCAGCCCACATAACAACACTTTGAGAGGGTTCTGTGACCCACATCTTACAGTTGAGAAAACCGAGGTTCAGATGGAATGAGATGGCTGCCCCCAACCACCCACCCCACAGGAGGGTGGGCTGCTCTACCTCAAGACGGACAGGACTGTCTGCCCTCCTATCGAGACCTCCATCCAGCTCTGGCATCTGCACCTTACCCACTTCCTCCAACTCTTCCCCAGTGCACCCTCTCCCGTTCCCACCCCCCCATTCCCACTCCAAGGAGAGTCTTCACCTTCCAGGGTGTTCCTGCGGCCGTCGGCACCAATGATGACGTCAAACTCAAACTCCGACAGAGAGTGGTCTGCAGGGAGAAATTCTGCCCGCCAGCCAATTTCTACGAGGACAGAGAAATGAGATGAGTTGGCAGAGAGTGGTGGGAAGGGAATGATTATACCCCCTGTGTGGTGGCTGTGAGAAATGGACAGTGCAGCCAGGTCTGTGCCTCCCAGAGCGAGCCTCCAGGGGAAAGGCCTAGAGCAGTCCAGATTCACTCTCTAATCTGGTTTCCTCTGACTTGAGTGTCAGTTCAATCCAGGATGAAGTAAACCAGCAACCCCAAATCCATGCCGGGTTTTGCTGGCCTCTGCTAGGAGTCTAGCCTCAAAGGTCCATAAACTACTCTCATTTGCACGTTATTTTTCTCAACAGAGTCCACCACCTTCTCTTCACACTCTCCCATACCCTTCAGTGCCTCTCATTGCCAAACAGACCCAAAAAGATGTGTAGGGTATAAGGAAACCAGTTTTAATTTCTATTTCATGCTCAAAATGTTCTGTTGTACAGTATACTGTCTTTTATTTTTAAAAAATTCAGGTGAAGCCTGAATAATTAAGATTTAATGCCACTAGAGGTCTGGAAAAGGTTAAGAGTACACCTGAATGCCAAATAGTGAAGGCTGTCCTGCTACAAAAGCTAACTAAAGCCTCCCCCAAATTCTCAAATATTCTGGACAGAGGACAGGAGAAATCAGAAATGTACCCTAGGTGAGCAACTGCAAGGTCTCTGACACTAAGCTGGTCCCAAACTCAAAGCCCTTCCAAGGCAATAGATGACTCTGATAATAAGTGAGATGCACAGGCATCGTGAACAAACTCTTTGACCATGGTTTGTGTAAGGGATAAGAAATTAAACCAACGTACTAAAAGGAAAAAGAGAAACATTAAGATCTGCCTCTACAGGCAAATATCATAGTTTATAAATGACACCTAGATATGGTTAAAAGTATTCTATACCAAATAACATCTTGGACCTTATTTCACAGTTGCTCTAGAAGCTTCGCTTTGCTGGATTTTAAAATGTGCCATGGGTAAAAGTGCACCCACATATCCATATATGAAATACACACACAGCTTGTAGAACACGTGAATGAACTTCACCAAACAACCAAATCTATGTCTTCTGTACTACTTATTGATTAGATTTGCTTTACCAAAGTAGCACCCCCTTGGGACAGGGTAACCAAATGATAGGTTTAATGGCTTAATCATAAATCCCCTTGGAGCCAAAGAGCAAAGCTAAAGTCATAGCAATGGTCAACAACAGCAAAATACCCTTCAATGGAGTTATGCCAACCAGCTCCCAATAAGAATAACTCTTACAGAAACAGCCTCTGCAAGCAGCAAATGGGATTTCTATTTTGTAATATCTGCTTTCTAGGCAGAAAAGGATAATTATACTGTACTTTGATTTTCTTGATCTTCAGGAGGCTCTAGAACCTTCACAAACTCCACATTCACATGGATTTCAACTCCCAGCATCAGGGCCACCTTGAATAGAATGAGCTGTAGTTGGCGAATACCTGTTGGACAGGAAGGAGAGAGGAACCATCACAGCAATGCCTGAACACCACCTCTATGCAGAATGCTACATAGTCACTGCTGCTCGGTGACCTTTGAGCACAGCAGTATACCATTATGGCGTCGGATTATGCACCAAGCACTCTGTGTTTTCTCACCTTACTCTTACAGTGGCCCTTTGGAACCGTTATTATCCTCATTCTGTAGATGAGAAATTGAGGCTTAACAAGGTTAAGTGACTTGCTCAGGTAACACGGAGCAAAACTAGAATGTAGACCCACGTCTGTCCTCTTTCTAGACCCTGTTCTAGCACTAGGTGATGCTATAACAAGGGAGGCTCTGTCTTTCCAGCCTCTTTCCCCACCAGCTGGGCTCTGGGTTCGATGAGATGAAGATGGAAAGAGGACTAGGCAAAGAGAGAATAAAGGGCCTTAGTGAAGTCCGTGATCAGTGACTCATTATATGGGGCCCATGCGTCAGTTCTTAAACATGCAGTGGTGAGGACTGGTTAGGAAATTCTCCCCACAAAGTGTCACGGTTCCCCATCTCCCACCCACCGTTCAAAACTCCCTCAGTGAGTGGAATCTCATTTCCCTGTTTTATTTCCTGCCATTCAGCACAAATAGATATGCCTCCAAATAATTTTCTGCAGAGTGAGAAGTTTTAAACTTTCTGTGGGCCCTTCTGTATTTGGTGGGTTGGACTCATTTAGCATTTATTGAGCATCTATACTATGCCAGGTGCCATGCTAGGTACAGGAGATACAGAACACATCTTCTAATCGAGGGAACAGAGGTGAACAGAGGTAAACAGAATGGGGCAAGACATGGTGGTTGGGGGAGGGTGGCAGTGGTAGAACAGAGTCTTCGTGGGGGTCCTGGAAGCCAAGAAAGAAGGTACCAAGAATATCAACTCCAACAGAGAGATGAAGGACTATGAAGGTGACAAGAGGCCAGTGAACTTGGGGTTAGGAAACTTTTGAAGACTTTCATGAAAATCTCTTTAGCACAGTGGTGGGGAAGAGAGCAGACTGTGACAGAAGGAGCTTTGAATGTCTACGCCTTTCTTTCTAGAATAAATACCTTATGGCAAGGGAAGGTAGCAGGGCAACAACAGAGGGCTGGAGGTCCAGCGTGAGGGGAGGAGCAGGAAGACTCAGTGACAGGGCAGGGGGAGAGGCAGGAAGCCAGAGGGACTGGAATTGGAAAGGAGGTGCCAGCTGTGATTTGGTAGGGCGCATGAGGAAGGAATGGGTGCTGGGGTACAGGAGAGGGAAGCGGGCCCAGATTGGGAGTGCTTCCTCTTCCCCCAGCACAGGAGGGAGGCTATCTGCTAGGAATGAGGTCATCATGGTGGAGGTTTAGCATGGCCACAATGGGAACTGGAGGAGAATGTTAACAGAGACATGGAGAACCGCTAAGTAGTGCTGAGTATGATGATGCAGCTGGGGCTAGAGATGTGGCTGGGCTCAACCAAACCCAATCAACTGGGCATAGAGAGCCCAGTCCACCTCCTACCATGAACCACCCTTCCAGAGGAGGCCTGGCCTCTCTTTATGGTTCTGAGGTCCTACTCAGTCTGGTTCCAGCACACAGTAGGTGCTTAATAAATTCTCCTTTCTTGCAAGTACTGGAGCTACTCTTGACAATGATCATTCTGACTGTCTCAATGTTATTTCGAGAGTCCCACTGGCAATATGGGATGCTGAAGTACTTCCAAGGACTAGGGGTTAAATGAAAGCCCCATCAGTGAGGGCAGAGAAGGGCTCCTGACCAGGAAGCCAGCCCAACAAGCCCAGGACCCCACAAGGCTTTCTGGTACCCAGCTCTGCCTCCCAAGAGAACTTGATGAAAAAGTGGTGCTCGATACAGTGGTTCTAAATTGGTAACCAACACACATTCTTCTGTGGGTAGGAGAGCACATCTTGAAAGCTGACACTGCAGCTCTCTAAGCAAATCCAAATTTCCACTGGACTCCTGGAATTTTCTCATCTCCAAGTGGGAATAAACTCTGGGGCCACAGCTGGTAAATTCTCCTGCGTCTGAATAAATTATACCCTATGTGACTGATAATTCTCTCCAGTTGTTCCCGCCCAAGCTGCATTCCTTTTTCCCATCAATTGTTGTCCTCATAAGAACATGGCTCTCAGGGGCCTCCTTCCCACCACCCCCACTGAGAAACACTGGCTGGGAGAAAGCAGCTCTGGATTCTGAAGTCTGGGGACCATGGCTGCTTCTCGCTCACTGTACAGCATGGGCTGCAAAGCATTTTTCCTGAGCACTTACTATGTGCTAGGCATAGTGCTAAGTATATCACAAACCTGACCTCATTTAATCCTCTCACCAATTCTAGGAGACAGAGATTAATCACACTTTATAGGAGATAAAATTGAGGCTTGAAGGGGTGTGGGCTTTGCCCCAAGTCAGACAGAAATGGAAGAGACACATTTTGGACGCAAATCTGTTCAGACTCTTGAGCTTGTTAACCTCCCTTTAATGGGTCACTATTGCTATACAATTATCGCTAATCTGCTGGAGATTAGTTCCAGGACCCCTGAGTATACCAAAATCCATGCATACTTAAGTCCTGTGTTTGCCCTGTGGAATTCAAGTATACAAAACATCAGCTTTCTATAGAGGTGGGTTTTACAACCTGCAGGTGTTTGGATGAAAAAAAAACCATGTATAAGTGGACTCTTGCAGTTCAAACCTGTGTTGTTCAAGGGTCAGCTGCATATAAAACAGCTAAGGACCACAGCAAAGCTGCAAGGAGGGAGGCTGCCTTTCCCAAAGGCTGTCTGCAGAGACCCAGCCCTGAGAGCTCCAGACTTGAGGAACATCAGAGCAGAAGGGCCTCGGCACTCATCTTGCCCTATGTAAGCATTCAGCGATGCCCAGGACCTGGAGTCCATGTTGCCTATTTTCCGTCCTATTCTGGCTGAGGCCCATCATGATGTTCTCTTTCTTTTTAAAGTTCAGATTTTTAAAACTTTGGTATGGAACCCATCAGGAAACAAAGATCCAATGGTTTCATTCCTCTGCTCTAAAACCTGCCATGGCTCCCCAGCACCACCAGCACAATGTCCAAACTCCTTTGCATGGAGGGTCTTGACTACCTGGCCTGTTAATGGTTTTGTGTGGCCCCTTCCTCCAAACTCCTTTAGCAAGTGTGACTAACCCTATTAAAGCACATTATTATCAACAACATCTCAGTGCGCTCCTTCAGGGTGCAGACTATGCTATTTACCTCTGCCTCTGTTTCTCTATTTCACTCATTCATCCAACAGATGTTTATCAAGCATCTGCTATGAGTCAAGCACTCTTTCCTGTCCTGGAGATATTCTGGTGATTAAGGCAAGCTGCAGTCCCTGACCTCATGCTTACAGCCTGCTGGGGGATAGCCAGCACAATGCACAAAGCCGGCCTTTTACTAGATGTCTGTCAGTCCAATATATGGTGCCCCCAGGGACTAAGACAGACAAGCTGGGGACTCCTAGACATGGAGAGATATGTTCCACCCAGGGTCAGTCCCCTCCCTTCCTGGGATATCACCATAGACTCCACTCACTGATATGGTCGATGGAGCCAGCACAGAACTTCCCATAGAACTTCTTGGCTCCCAGGCCCCGAAGGTCGTGGATGGTGAAAGGCCAGAGGTGTAGCACATTGTTCCTGGAGAAGGTGTCCCTCTTCTCCACCACGACCACTTTGGCTCCCAGATAGGCAAGTTCAATGGCAGTGCGCAAGCCACAGGGTCCTCCCCCAACGATGAGACACTGCAGAGGTGGGAGAGGAAAGAGACTGAGCAACCTCTAGCATCACTGACACGAACCCCCAGTCAGCAGGGAAACTGAGGTGCAAATCCCAGTCTACCTGAACCAACCAGCAAGTGCAAACTATGTGCCTGTTAGGGCCTGTCATTCATCCACCCAATGTACCTTACCTGTGCGCCTGCCATGCACCAACCACTGCGCCAGGCCCTGTGAGGAGTGCAGAGGGAAAGGGACTTGGGGCGGAGGCACAAGGTGCACTGAGGTTCAGAGTTAAAGTGAACTGGGCTTCAGTCCCAGCTCCAGCATTTGACCACTTAGCTTCCTGATCTGTGTGGGTCTACTACTCTCCTCATAAGGTTATTGTAAATAAGATCACTTTAAAAGCATATGGTACATCTTTGTGGTCTTGAATTAGGTAATAGTGTCTTAGATATAACAGGAAAAGCACAAACAACTAAAGAAAAAATTGACAAATTGGATTTTAAAATTAAAACTTGGTGCTTCCAAGGCCACCATCAAGAAAGTGAAAAGACAACCACACAGAAGGGAGAAAATAGTGACAAATCATATATCTGATATGGAACTTGTATCCAAAATATATAAAGGATGTTCACAACTCAGTAATAAAAATACAAATAGCCCCATTAAAGACTGGGCAAAGGATCTGAATAGATGTTTCTTCAGAGAAGATATACAAATGGTCACTAAATACATGAAAAGATGCTCAACCCCAATTGCCATCAGGGAAATGCAAACTAAAGCCACAGTGAGAAATCACTTCACACCCACTAGGATGGCTACAATGAGAAAGAGAACAGCAAGTGTGGGTGAGGATATGGAAAAACTGAAACCCTCAGACATTGCTGGTGGGGAAATAAATTGATACAGATACATGAAAACAGTTTGATCATCCCTCCAAAAGTTAAACACAGAGGTTTAAACTCCTACATATATATACCCAAGAGAAATGAAAACATGTTCACACAAAATCCTGTCATGAATGTTCACGGAAGCATCATTCATAATAGCCCCAAAGTAAGAACGACCCAAATTGCCACCATTGATGAAGAAACCAAATGTGGTATATCCATATAATGGAATATTATTCAGTCATAAAAAGGAAAGAATTCTAATATATGGACAAACCTTAAAAACACTGTGTTAAGTGAAAGAAACCAGACACAAAAGGACACATATTGTATTCTGTTTATATGAAATGTCCAGAATAGGCAAATCCATGGGACAGAAGTGGATTAGTGACTGCTGGGAAATGGTGGAGGGAGAATTGGGGAATGACCACTAGTGGATACGGGGTGTATTTTTAAGCTGTTTTGGAATTAGATAGTGGTGATGGTTGCACAACTTTGCAAATATGCTAAAACCACTGAATTGTGTACTATAAGAGGTAAATGTGAATTATGTCATTATAAAAAAAGTGCATGAGGAAAATAACATATGGTTCAGAGCTTGGCACATACTAGTGTAAATGGTGTCATTCTCATTGCTGAGACCTAGGCCCTATCTTCTAGAAACTCTCAGGCTAGGGGTAAAATACATAACTTATAAACAAACAAACAAACAAACAAACTAGAACCTTATGTGGCTGGTTTTATCTGGAGCCCAGAGGGAAAAACTAATCCTGCTTCGTAAGTTGGAAAATATTTCACAGAGGTGAGTCTTTCAAATTATTACTTTAGCCTACATTTGTTAAACACTTACTATGGGTCAAACGGTTTCAAGTGGTTTCTGTGTTTTAGCTCTTAATCTTTACAACAAATCTAAGGAACTATTATGATGCCCCTTTCACAGATGGGGAAATTGAGGCACAAAGCAGCTACTTAATTGGCTCATGCTTTTACAGATTGAAAGGGGCAGAACCAGGATTCAAACCCAGGGAGTCTCATTCCAGAGCCTACCGTGCTGGACTGCTTCTGGTTTGCCAGGAATAAAAAAGAAAAAAGAACATTTCAGCAGAGGGAACTGCCCTTTCAAAGAGAAAGAGGAAGAAGTTCAAGGTGGATAGAGAGAAGGATACTTTGGGAAAAGAGAAAGGAATGGGAGAAAAGGAGATAAGAGTTAGTCTGGAGCCAAATGGTGAAAGTCTTAAGTACCAAAGCCATCTTTGATGGCCTTGGTCCTGTTGGCATTTGGGCCATGTGGGCAGAGGTGACAAAAGAGGATTCTGCACGAGTCCCATGCTCGGTCCTCAATGGACACCGCACGCTGAAAAAGACAAGGATCCTTCCCCAGGGAAGACACACGATGACCTAGGATAGCTGTATTGGGCAAAAGCCCTTCCATTCAAAGAAAATCTTATGAGGAGCAGCATCGATACTGCCTAAAACAAGAGGAAGATGGTAATACTCTGCCTGAAAGAATCAGAAGAAACTCTTTCCTAAGCCAGGAGTTTGCCTAGAGATCTGACCATCCCCAGCAAGGCAACAGGCAAGAGGATCTGCACCCACTCCTCACTCCTTAACACTGTGGAGGCATCTGGAAACTGTCTTTCTGCTTGAGATCAAACCTTATCTTAAAAAAGCACATTCCCCTTCCTCTAGCAAATGTTCCATCATCCAGTTATCACTCAGCTGGGCCTGCAGGGTCCCAAGAGGAAAGTGCAAACAAGCATATCAGGAGCTCCCACACCACAATCAGTGTGGCCCGCTGGTTGGAACCTTCCAGAGAGTTTGTAGACACCTAATTAAGGGAAATGAGGTCACCACTGAGATCCAGCTCCAGAGACATCAGGGAGTGAGTGGGCGTGCAAGCCCATGTGCATCCTCTCTGGATAGAGCCACCAGGAAAGAACCATGCCCTGCTTCCCAAGCTCAGCACTACTCTTTATCTCACACCCCAGACAGCTCCTCGGGCTTGGACATAGCCAGACAATGACGGTCATTTCAAAGCACGGCTCCAAGCCCCAACACGGGTGAGGTTTGCTTTGGGGTTAGGTCTGGATTCCTGCATTTCTTTGCCGTTAGTACATCTTTTCCTGTTTGCTGAGTTCTGTCCCTTCGGGGCCAGAAATGAAGCAGGGGTGGGAGGACGTGGGGTGAACAGGGGCAGGAAAGAAGGAGGGGAGCACCCTGCATCCTTCTGTCCACCGGGCCTGACCCAGCACTGCTTCCCGGACAAGGCAGGAGATCCCTTTCCCACCAGTCAGGGGGCAGCCGTGCCTTTTGCAGGCAAACAGTAGCTGGTGTACGGTTTCTGATGCTCTTGGCTAAACCTAAAATCCCATTGGCGAAAGCTCAGTTTTCCCACCATCCTGGGCCCCAGTACATATTTCGGGCCTGAAATTTCAGAGATGCCAGTCATACCGTAACCTAAAGTCAAAGCAAATACCAACAGGCCTAATTATATAAAGGGAGAAAATTCGGTACAGATGTTATCAAGGCCAGAGAGACGGCTTGTTGGCAGGGGCCAGGCCAGGTCTTCTCTGAACACGCTTATTGTGATTAACATGGGAACTCGGTGTTCTGACAAAAGGCCAACTACCATGGCAGCCACATGCCCGGGCAGAGGAGTGGGAGAGAGGAGGACTTCCCCGGCATGCCCACTGCAGATGCTCTGGACGCTGGATGTGGTCCAGACAGACCACAGATGCAAAGGGTTGTGATAACTTGACCCAAAGGAGCTCTTTCCTCAGACCCAGCCAGGCCTTATGTTCAAGGAAGGAAAACTTTTCATTAAAACTCAGATTGTGTGCTCCTGCCTGTGTTCCCATGAACTCTGTCCTTTCTGCTTCCCCAGAACCAGCTCTGCAGGTCACAGTTGTCTGTGTGTGACCCACAGCCAGTCCAAGGGCTTCTTTAAGGCCGCCCCCGTCCTCTGTATTTCTGTGTGCTCAGAGCCCAGTACCAGGCCTGCCACCCAGGAGGTCTCAACTGACAGCTGACAGATGAACTCTCCACACCCTCTCCACCCACCCAGTTCTGCCTTTCCATGCACAACTGGGATGTTCAGTTCACACCAGTGGGGGTTCACATCTGCAGATTCCCACCCAGACTGGGGGAGCTGGGGTCCGCCAAGGCCACCAGCATCATGGATGTCACCATATCTGTGTGCTCAGGTGACATAAATTATTACCCAGTGGGGAGCAGGGCAGAGCCAACACCAGCAGGAAATCCATTGTATAGATAAGCACGGGGGAGTTCAGGCCTCCACGTTAGCACAGGGGAGGGACAAACACCACATGGAAAAATCAGCTGTTTATCAAGAGGCAGGGATGGAGGGATGGGGACCCACAGTCAGGACACTAGGACGGGGTGGCCCCAGCTCACATGGGCCTCCTGCTTCTCCCCAGTGGGCCCTGCAAACACGACCCACTTCTTGACATGGTGCATCTTCTAGCTGCCCCTCTTGCCAGCCAACAAGTGAGTCAGTGTGCTGGGGCTGTGTCAGGAACGCACAAGAGATTCAGTCCCCAGAGGGAGATGCTGAGGGGACCTAAAGCTAAGCCAGGAGGTAGCAGTCTTCAGGCTTCATTTCCACTTCTGAACCTGACCCTGTGTTCCTTGAGAGCCATGTGTCCAGACACTGCAGCGAGGTGGAGTGCAGAAGCCAGCACTTGAGCAGTGTGTGGCGCTCTCTAGCCCGCTTACCCACCTTGCACCTCACCTAGAAAGGACAGCTGTGAGAGCGAAACTGCACTGTGCCTGGCACGTGCTACTTGCCATGCACTGCTCTAATTGCTTTGTGTATTTCATCCTTGCAACTGCCCTACAAAGGTGTTATTATCATCCCCTTTATAAGTGAGGTAACTAAGGCACTGAAAAGTTAAGTAACTTGCTCCAGGCACCCTTATCATCTCTTTGAGTAAAGAAGGCAAGAAATATCTTTAAGGTCACATAAAGAATAAGCGGTCAAATCTGAATTTGAACCCAGGTAGTATTGGTCCACAGTCTGTGCTCTCACTGGCTTCACTGACAGTGAAGCCGGACCTCAGCGGTGAGGTCAGGATGAAACGAGAGGACTTGGCTGCTTCCCTGCATTGAGCACAC